CCCTGACGATGTAGAATTGTGTCCAGAAGAGTCCAGGCTCATTCTGCTTATCACCATGGAAGAGAGGTGAATTAGAAGTTGCTCTCTGAGACCATTTGCTGTCACGCTCCCTAGGATGCAGGGAAAGCCAGGTTTCAGGGAGACAGAAAGATGGAACAGAAATGGAGTTGGAGGAAAGTGACTTTCTGGGTTCCCCAAACCCAGGCCCTGGGTCTCATCTCTTCTCCAAGACCCAGCTGCATCCTTGTGCTTAGATTTCTTAAGATGTCCCTGTACCCTTACACTCCCCTTTTGTTATCAACATGTCCCCAGTTGTTCCCAGCAGTCTCAGCCCCAGGAATCTTCAGGAAAGCAGCTTGAGGCAAACACCTCTCTCTGTCTTCTTGCCCATGGTGTGACTTCTGGTCACCTTCCCAGCTTCCTGGAGGGCAACTTCAGCCTGAACAAGGGTGTCCCCCGGGCGACACCACTGGACAGGGGAGGCCAGTCTCCAGCTCCTTCTGCGGCCCCTCCCTGTCCCCCCAGGCCTGGCCCCCACTCTTCTCTGGGGCCTGTCCTCGTGCAGCCTTCCAGACACACATCATCCCTGTTTCTTGCACGCAGAGGTCCCAGGACCAGGTGTTTCCTGACTGCCTTTCTTCCCTGTCCCAGCTCCTCTTTGTCTGCCCCCGTGCTCTGTGTGTCACACCTCCCAGGTGGTGGCTGCCAGTTAACGGGGCCTTCAAAGTCTCCCAGGCAGCCAGTGTGGGGAGATGTTTGGGGAAAAAAACATTTTCAGAAGTTCTTAAATGGACTTGAAAGAAAGAGTGCTGGCTTTGGAGGCAGGCAGCCAGTGTGGGGAGATGTTTGAGAAAAAGAAACATTTTCAGAAGTTCTTAAATGGACTTGAAAGAAAGAGTGCTGGCTTTGGAGTGAGGAGACCGGATTCTGGTCTGGCTTCGCTTCTAACTTGCTGTGTGACTTTAGGTTCCAGTTGCTTCGGCTGCTGAGTGACAGAAATAGATGAGATCAAAGGCTTGCCAGGGAGCCCCTTCGAGGTGCCTGGGTCATCACCTTGGGAACCATATCAAAGGAAAAGGGATGGCCCCGTGGGCTCCATTTCTCTTCACTCAGAGTGGCCCCACTTGTATCCGCTTTCTATCCTGAGCATCCTTGCCAGATGCTGCCTTAGCCCAGGTTCCCTAGAAGCAGAGCTCGAGGCAGAGTGTGTATGCCGCCACTTGGTGAGGGAGTGCAGTGTCAGGGAAGCTGCAGTGAGGGGGTGAGACAGATGAGGACAGAGAGCTCTGCTGAGGTGGCCACCGTGAGCATCAACGATGCTAGATCCTGTGGAACCTTCTCTAAACAGGCTCTGTGACAGAGGGAGACAAACCATAAGAGACTCTTAATCATGGGAAACGAACTGAGGGTTGCTGGAGGGAGGGTGGGGGGATGGGGTAACTGGGTGATGGGCATTAAGGAGGGCATGTGATGGAATGAGCACTGGGTGTTACATGTAACTGCGAATCACTGACCTCTACCTCTGAAACTAATAATAACTATAGTTAATGAATTGAATTTAAAATAAAACAAAATAAAAATAAAAGAGGCTCTGTGAAGCCTAGGACAGTTCATCCAGAAAGAAGAGATTTCTCTGCCAACCCATCTCCTGTTAGTCAAAGGTCCACTTGAGGCCAGGAGTTCAGAGGGGGGCATGAGTGTGGTTGGCTTGTGCTGGAACGAGACAGGTGGCAAACACCTGGAAGACAGATCTTAGGTGGCGCATCAGAAAGCATCTGGTATGGCTATCATAGAAAAGGAGTGAGAACATCTGCTACATAAAAGTTGAAGGACCTTGCCAGCTGAAAACTGCCTTGACATGGTTCAGTGGAATGGCAGCTCAGAGGGCTGAGACCGTTCACCCTTCTTGTGTGCAGGAACCATGTCCCCAGAGAGTTGCAAGCAAGATACCTGGAAATGTGTACCCCTCAGTGCCCAAGGGTTGGTGCCAACTTTGCTCTGTCCCCGCTCCCCAAATGTCCATGCAATTTGAGAGCACATGAGGATGATGTTCTTAAAGAGTCCTGATGGGACAGGAAAGAGAGGGACTGATAATCCCACCAGGCTGGGGGAGGGGGGCAGTGGTATTCATCATGTTCATTCAGGAAGGCCTGGCCCCCGCTGCGAGCCTGGGCCCCCCTCCACTCAGGGGGCAGCTGCCGGCTCCAGATGGGAGGTAGATTTGTTGGTATTTAAGGGATTGAAAGATTAAATGGGCCAGAGAAGCTTCCTCCACACAGCCTCATCCTCTAATGACTGGAAGCCCAACCTTGGGTGTTATTAAATTGATACTACATCATAGGCACTTCATGCCCCTTCCTTTGAAGCCCAGCAGGCTTGCAAAGCCGGCAGAGAATAAGAGATTGGGGTCAGAGCCGGAAGCCTCAATCCTTCTTCTCTGGCATGTACATAGAGCAATCTGTAGAAGGAAGATCAGACTCTCCGAAATCAAACCAGGAATCCAGTCTGAGCATTGTTGTTGGCTGACCTTGGGGACACTACTTCAGCTCAGGATACTGGCTTTCTTTGCTGCCAAATAGGGACATGGGTGCAAATGAGAGAAAAAGCTATAAAGCCAACATGCCCTTTAGTGGGGCTGGGCTGGGCACTGGGGTGTGTGGCCTGTGGGCTGCTGGAGCCCGGGGGCGGGGGGGGGGGAGCTGATGGAAAATGACCCCAAGGCAGGCCCCAGTCACAGCCAAGATAGGACATGGGCTCTGATCAAAATGAGAAGGAATAAAACTCAATAAAAGTCTCCCAAAACGGGGCACCTGGGTGGCTCAGCCGTTAAGTGTCTGCCTTGGGCTCAGGTCATGATCCCAGGGTCCTGGGATCGAACCCCGCATCGGGCTTCCTGCTCTGCGGGAAGCCTGCTTCTCCCTCTCCCACTCCCCCTGCTTGTGTTCCCTCTCTCGCTGTGTCTGTCTCTGTCAAATAAATAAATAAAATCTTAAAAAAAAAAATCTCCCAAAGGAAAGGAAAGTACAGGCAAGAAAATGGAATGGAAATAGGCTCAAACCCGTCATCTCACTCAGGAAACATCAGGTCCAGGGTCAGACTACGGTACCGAACAAACCCACCAGCACCAGGCTCTGTGCCAAGCGCTCCATCTGCACGATGTCATGTAACCATCACGGCCCCCATGCAGTAGATGCAACAGGCTTCTCCTTGTCGCAGATGGGTAAACTGAGGCTGGGAGGGGTTGGGCAACTTAGCCCAGTGTCACAGCTAGTTAGGACCAGTACCAGGATTGAAAACCAGGCAGTCAGCTTGCTGATTGTTCTCAAGCTTTGCCCTTTGTTCTTTCTTCTCACAGGGACACCGTCTCCCTAAGCAGCCTCTTAGGTTGAGATTATCATCTCTATTCCCCTGATTCACGAGTCAGTCTGCCCTGCTCCCAGGTCTGGCCTACGCTTCAGATCCACGGGCCCAACAGCCTTTCCTCAAGCATATGTCCAAGGAAGAATCCTCATTTACCCTAAACTTGCTCTAGCCCACTTCCCAGAGGGCGCCTCCACCACCCACCCAGCTGCAGAACCCGGCCAGAGCCTGGACTCTTCTCTCCTCACCCCTGACACCCGAGGCACCGCCATGGTACCCACCATGCAACTGAGCTCATCAACTCTCTCCTTCCCACCATGGCTGTGAGCAGTGCAGGACCCTCCCTAGAACAAATGCACATCACGTGCTCCACCTGGTGGTCTCCATTCCTGCCTCTTCTCATCCACCCCATTTGTCTCATCCAAAACACAAATATGATGGTGCCATTTCCCTACCCCTAAACTCTTGAACTGCTTCCCGTTGTTCCCAGGATAAAGGCCCTCTTCATCTGCACCCTTCCCCAGGCCACCTCCCGTTGCTCTTCCTTCATGCACTCTGCTGCTCTCGCTGAACTTTTCTTTCCTTCAAGCCTCGGCTGGCTGTTCCCTCTGCCTGAACACTTTCCCCCACTCACTGCGTTCCCTCCACTCCTGCTCAGACTTCATTGTCATCTCAGAAGTCCAAAGTCACAACGGGGATGTCCATCCTCCAGAAGCCTGGTCTGACCCGGCCCCCTCCAAGTCTCTGCTCACACCCTTTACCAATGCCTCCTTCCAGCCACCAAACATACGCATTACTAGAGCTGGGTTTGTCCATTCCTGTCCGCACAGTGTGCTGCTCACAGCAGGGAGTTAATACATGTTTGGGAGGGAGGGAGAGCAAGTGACTTTTCCAAAGCCACAAAGTCCAAGAGAGTGACAAATCCAGCATTAGAATCTGCATCAACCCACTCCACGCCACCCCAACTTGGAAAGAATTCTATGCTCCTCTCCGTCCTACCCTCTGATCCCGCCCATTATTTAATTCCTAGCGTCAAGGGCCACAGAGGTGACATTTTAGGAAGCGACATCTTCCATCTGAAAAAGGAAAGCGCGTGGCGCAGTGTGGGAGGACATAATCCCCCCACCCCCGTCCTTGTCCCCAAGGACAAGGGAAATCCAGCCTCGCCTCCTCCCTGGAGAGGGGAGCATCTGGAGCACGTGAGTCTTACCCCAGGTCTCCACCCCCCCCCAACACCGGTATCCGCTGTTGCCTAGGCCAAGCTTCCCGCCCGGACGTCGCCGGCGACCCCAGCAACGCCCAGCCCCCACAGGGCCACACGCGTTGCGTGCGCAGGCCCGTGCCCTGCTCCAAGCCGCGGACGCCACCACCGCCGCGTCCCTCCACCCCCGGGCCCGGGACGCCCCGCCTCCCCGGCTCCGTCCTTCCCTCCCCGCGTCCCTCCCCTTCCTCCCCGCCCGCGCCAGCCCCGCCCCCGGCCCTGCCCCCCGGGCTGAGGGTTCTCCCACCCCGGCCCGCCGCGGCCCGCCCCGTGCTCGGTGGCCGCTCTTGCCGTCGCCCACGCCGCCGCCGCCGGGCCAGCAGAGTGCTTCCCCAACTTGGAAAGTGGGGCCGAGGCGCCAGCCGCCGGCAGGGCAGCCATGGAGGCAGCGGCGCGGAGGCGACAGCATCCGGGAGCGGCGGGCAGCGCGAGCGCGCAGCCGGGCGCCTCCTTCCCGCAGGCCAGGTGGGCGCACGCCGGCGGGGGGGCGAGGCCGCGGCCCCCACGTGACGCGGGGCGGGCGGCGGGGGCGCGGCTGGAGGAGCCCGGGGTGGGCCGGGGGCTGCCGCCGGAGTCAGTCTGCCCTGCGCTGCCCTCGCTGCGCCCTGGCGCCTGGGCCCCGTCTCCACCGCCCTTTCTCTTCCTGGGAACGCCCCGGGCCCAGGCAGGCTCAGCAGCCCCCGGCGCCCCCCTCCCCTCCCGGGCCGGCTCGAGGACAGTCGCGCCTCTGGGGAGAACAGTCTAGGGGTCCAAGAAACTCGGGGTGGGGGCAGTGGCCCCCAGGACCCCGGCGCACACTCCGCCCCCAACGCACCTGCGCGCCCCGGGCGCCACCTCCAAGTTCTCGGGGTCCCTCCAAGCGGAATAGGACTTTGATTCTGGTGCCAATCGGGAGGCTCACTCCTTATCCCAAGAATGTGAGAATGGAAATTCAAGAGACAGCGAAGTGTGTGGAAGCTCCCCTCCCGAGAAGGAATGAGGAAGGGCTTTTCTCGTTTGGCCGTTCCCTTCTCTCACTAGGGGAAGAAGTTACTGGTTTATGTAGTTGAGACCAGGAGGCGCAGAAGAAGCAGCACGGAAACCACCTTTTAGTCTTTCCCTCCATTCTGCTTTCATCCTGCTGTGCAGGCCAGAAACACTCCTTGCGCTGAGCAGGCATTCATTAAGTATCGTTGGTGTGCCCAGTGCTGTGGTGGGCACTGAAGGGGTGGGTGAGGTGAAGCCGGAAGGGGCTAAGAGGTTCATCTTGGAGAGCTTTGTGGAGGAAGTGGCACTTGAGCTGAGTCCAGAGTATTCAGTAGGTGACCCAGGGAGGAAAGGCTGTTCCAGTCGGGGGAGGAGGTGGTGGAAAGTTTGGGAAGAGTCAAGTGGTCAGTGGTGCTGGAGCTTTCTGGTGTACAGCTGCAAGAGGATGTGGACTGACAGGGAAGGGCCTTTCCTGGCAGCAGGGCTGGGACTAGAATGAAAGCCTAGCCTGCAAATTTTAAGGAAATTTAAGGAGACGCTCACTCTGGGGCACCTGTGTTGGGCCTGTGTGCCTCACTTGCCTCACCCTAGTTCCTGCCCTAAATGACAGGTTAAAAATGTAGCCTTTTTCTGGTAAGCACACGGGAGCCTTGGAAGGTTTTTGAGCACTAGTGCGCTCAGAGTCAATTTTAGGAAGTCGGTGGTATGATTTGGGATGAGGGGAGAAGTCTGAGAGACTTGGCTGAGGATAGCTCTTTCTCGTGCTACTGAGGGTCATCTCTGTTCTGGATCCCCTTCAAGCTGGGGGTCTTTGACTGCCCTGAACTGTAGCAGCCCAATTAGAACAATCTGTGGGTATCAGATATCCCACTTTATCTCATGTGTGGGGCTTCCATAAGCAGTATCTCACTCAGTCTGTTTCTATTTTGTATATGTGGAAACATATACATACACATTTTGTATATGAGGCCCAGAGAGATTATATCATTTGCTGGCAAGAACCAGGGTCTAAACCCAGGGCTTCTGTACTATTCCACTTGAGCTGCTGAGGAGCAGTGTTCCTCTTTACTCCTGTAGGAGCTCATTACCAGCCACAGTGTTCCCTGGGGATGGCACGAGGGCTGACTCACTTCCAGGGTATCCCTGCCACCCTTGTAGCGTACCTCTAGGACCATTTTCAGTATCATTGTAGCTTAAGACAGTGGGCAGAATCGACCTGTCCAGTTCCTAAGATGCTTGGATTTCCTCTCCTGCATCCATGCTTAGCTTACACACCTCTGATGACACAGTGTTCACTATCTTTCGAGGTATCCCATTCCAGCTTCTGCCTGCCCTGTTGATAGTTTTTGTATTGCTATCAAAGGAATACGTGCGTATCGTTAAATAGCGCAGAAGGGCTTAAGAGTAAAAAGCGGTGGTTCTCTGTTCCACCTTTCCCTGGCACCAGAGACAACCACAGTAGCTTCTTTTAGCTGTTTCTACTAGAATTAAATTCATATTTTAAAATAGTATTAACAAATACTATGTAACACTTTCCATGGATCAGAGCCCACTCTAAAATTTTGCAGGTAATAATTCAACCACAACTCTTGAGATAGGATCTACTGTTATCACTCATTTTATAGATGAGAACATCGAGGCCCAAGAGAGTTTAAGTAACTGGCTCAAGATCTGGTTGGTAGCAAAGCTAGGATGTGAACCCAGGTGGTCTCCAAAGTCCATATTCTTAAAAGCTATACTCAACTGCCATTTCCTGATTTATCATTTTTGTAAAGATTTTATTTATTTCTTTATTTGACAGAGCACAAGCAGAGGGAGCAGCAGTGGGAGAGGGAGAAGCAGGCTCCCCGCTGAGCAGGGAGCTGGATGCGGTGACCTGAGCTGAAGGCAGACACTTAACTGACTGAACCACCCAGGCACCCCTTGATTTATCATTTGTAGCTTCTAAGATAATATTTACTGACTTCCTGTTATGATTTGGCTCACTTATACCTCCCTCATCTTCACAAGATGGTTCTTTTCATCTATTCTCAGTTTTTAAACTATTCTTAGTTTTTCTCTTTGTTACCTTTGTAGCCTTAGGGAACATCCATACAGCATTATTTCCTTTTTGGGGAACTATAGACAGTATCTCTTGATTCCTTTTTCAAAGGAGAATAATAGTCCCCTACCCTAACGTTTGGCTTTCCCTACCCTTTCCCCTAACTCCTGTCCTCTATAGTTTTACTTTCATGGTCTCAAGGTTAATGGTATTTACCTGCTGTTTTTAGGCGTAGTTGTCTTCCATGTTTTGTGTGTGCATGTATCCTAAACTTTGAAAATCAGTATACAGTGTTTTTATTAGTTAAGCCATGTAAACATTCCCTACAGAGCCAAGGAATGTTTGACAGTACCATATGCTCTCTTATATTGTTTTTGTTTTTCCTGGGGTTTCTAATTGCCTTTCTTTTTCCCTCTTATTAGCCTTCATTTTCTCATTTTTTGTTCAAGCTTTCCATCATGTCAGGTATTTTGCCATTCTTTATGTAGAACCAAAATTAATCCTGCTATAGTTCCCATTTATGGGTCCCTGCTTGACTCCACAAACATGGCTGAGTCCTTCCTTTTCTGCCAGGCAATCCTGCAGATGCTGACTGCTTTGAATATTTCAGCTGTATGTTATGTGTTCCCCACCTGTCATGGTATCAGTTCCCCCATATGGTAGACTTGGAAAGCTGTGGAGGAGAGAAAAGGCCATCCTTGTCTTGGGTTACCTGCCATTCACTGATGTTCTCAGCTGTAGTTTCTGATGACTGAGATCTAGAGCTGGCACAGGGTGGGGGCTCAGTGTGTGAAGTCTGTGGAGTCAGGAACTTGGGACAGGCTTGAGGTTGCTCATCCTCAGGACAAGGACTAGGGGAGAGGATGCCTTCACCCTCCATAATCTGCCTCCTGTGGTCATAGTCCCAACAGAAGAAAACCAGTCAGATGCTAACCAATCTTGATTTCCAAGTTGAGTGCCCTGTATCTGCCCTTTTTTCCCCTGCCTGCTAAGCCAGGCTGGACTACTGACGGGGATCTCCACTAACTGAGATGCCCTCTTGGGTAGAAGGAGGAAATAATTACTGAGCGCCTAGTATATGCTAGGTATCCACAGCTTCCAGAAATCCATACCTAAGTACTTCCCCAGACTTTCAAAATATGTTTCTCTTCTGTAGCAAACATCCTACTGCTTGCCCAGTTTGGAGGTTTCCAGAATAAAACACTGAGGGTTGTTAACCTCTTTCTCCCACCAAGTTCTTCAGGCCTGGAGGTCCTCCCCACCTGCTTTTTGAGGCCTTGACGCATAGTCACTAAGGGGAAGGGCAGGTGGGCCCTCTAAGCCAGTCCCTCATCTCAGACCCATGTCAGAGCAGTCCTCCCAGCGAGTTTCTGACTATCAGCCCAGTCTGAAGCCCAGCCATTCCCTCACTTCTCTTCCTCTCTACTGATAAGCCGGAGCGTTCAACTCCATGCAGCGCCTTCCTTCCTTCCACTCCAGGCCTTTGATCCCACTCTCCTGCTTTTCTGCCTACTTAAATCCACTCATCCATGCTTTCAGGCTCTCTTCCTTCATGCAGGCTTTGCATACTGCCCCAGGCCTTACTGAGCCTTCTCTGTCTTGATCTCTTCATATGGCACATAGTTTATTATAATAGAAACAGACTAGGAGACTATGTAGAGCACAGTTCTTGAGTTCATATAGACACAGGTTTGAATTTATGCTGTTCAGGACTCCTGGGTTGCAGGTGACATAAAGCCAGTGTGAACTATAGCGCCCTTAGCAAAAAGGAATGTATTGGCTCATGTGGCCAAACCGTTACCTGGGGGCTGCCTAGAACTCTCTGGGCTTTGCCTCTTCCTTTTTCCTGGTCTGCTCTGCAGGGTTGCTTCATTCTCGCCTGGCTGTCCTTTGAGGCTGGCACCTTGGCCACAGGCAGCCCTGGACTTGCATCCTTAGCACCCCAGCGCCAGAAAGGAAGGCACTCTTTCCACCAACTCTGATTGGAAAAGTCCCACTGGGTTGGCTTAGGTTACAGGCCCTCCCTGTGGCCAAGGAAACATCATCTCTTACTAGGAGAAGCATGGAGTGGGAAATAGGCTGCCAAAAAGAGTAGTTGCTGTAGCGCCTTACTGCGCGGGTGATCTTGGCTAAGCACTCAGCCCCTGTAAGCCTCAGTATCCTCATCTGTCACACGAGAGGGGAACAACCTCCTGGTATTGCTCATTTAGTGAGATGGTGCAGGTGAAGCTCCGAGCACAGCACACACTCAGCACTCAATAAGTTGGGGGGGTGGGCACTGAGTAAAGGGACAAGAAGACTTAGTTGACCCAAGAAAGGCCAACCCCACCTGTCATGCCTGCCATCAGAGGATGGTGAGATGCCCCCTCCCTCACCCAGGAGCTTGCCCCTCTGCCTCTGGGCTGCTCTACCAGCCCACTGTGGGCCGTTCTTCGATTGGCTGAAAAGGATCCCCAAAAGTTACAGAAGCAATAGTAGCACTGAGAAGACCTTCATGTTGCCTCTGATATTTGCCAGTAAAACAAATGAGTAACTAGTAATTGAGATGGTTTTAAATCAGCCAGTAATCGCTAAGCATAAACCAGGAACTGAGCTGAGAACTCTGGGTAACATGGGCCATTCACACAGCTCTGCTCTTGGCACAAATAGAGCAATAAAACTCACACCTCAGTCATCTTGGGAAGTAGCAGGCTGCTTGTCACTGGAGGCATGCAAGTAGTGTCAGGGACATTGTAAAGAGGATTTGGACTCTGATGTGGTGGGTGAGTTGAGAGAACCTTAAAAGTCACTCATCTTCTTGAGGGGCTAGATACAAGCAAAACTGCAGGCCCATGATGTCATGGCTAGACTGGGAGTTAGAGATGAAGCACCCCTGTAGTGGGGCTGGTGGGGTTTTGGGAAAAGCTCATCAGGGAAGCCTTCCTGGAGGAAGTGGCGTATGCACTGGCCCTTGAACTTCAGCTCATCTGTGAAAAGCAGATGGCTAACTGCTTTGCAGGAGGGACAGGCATCCAAAGATGTATTGTCAGATGGCGTTCCACTTCTTGCCGTGTCTCTTGGATCAGCTTGTCCCCTGCTGGCTCGTTGCACTGTGGGTTAGGTGAGAAGAGTGACTCCAGCAGCCCTATTCTTACTTCCTCCTAGTTCAGGAACTGAGGGAAAGGGCCTGTTGATCCCAGTCTGCGGTCTATAAGGTAGATCTCACTAGAGGGCTCTGATGGGTCCAGCTCAGGTCACATGCCCATCTGGTGGCCCAATCACTGTGGATGTGATGATGGCAGAGAGGTTAAAAATATAAGCTGTGGAGCCTCATCATTTAGGCTCACATATTTGGCTGTATAAAATGGGAATAATATTCCAACCTCAAAGGATTTCTGTGCGGATTAAATGAGAGAATGCATGCAAGCAGCTATAATGTGCCTGGACTATAGTAAGTGTTCAGTAAAGGTTCACTGCTGTCATCTGTCATCATGATTCACATTTTCCAGCCACATTGCATCCTCTGCCCCATTTCATTTCCCCGTCATTCTATAGGCGAGAACGCCCAGTTTGGCAGTTTCCTTCCTGAACCACAGAGAAGCTAAGCTAACAATAGGGCAGCCGGAATCAATTCCCAGGACACGTTCCCCTTGGCCTCAGAGCCAGTATTTCCAGCAAAATTCCTAGAAATTAATCCTCCTGCCCTCAACTCCCCCTATCTCTCTGTGGCTCATCTCGGGGAAGATTCTCATGGGAGGAGAGAAGAGCTGACCCCTGTTGTCCGGTTCCTTTCCAGGCACAGCGCCGCCAAGGCTGATGAAGCTGCAAGCACAGCTCCCTTTCACCTTGACCTCTGGTTCTACTTCACCCTGCAGAACTGGGTTCTAGACTTTGGCCGCCCCATTGCCATGGTGAGTGTGAAGCCGTGGACAGAGCAGGGATCATGACCTGAGCCGAAGGCAGACACTTAACAACTGAGCCATCCAGGCGCCCCAAGATTGATTTATTTTAGAGAGAGAGTGTGTGCGCACACGTGAGCGGGGGAGGGGCAGAGGGAGAGGGAGAGAGAGAATCTTAAGTAGACTCCACGCTGAGTGCGGAGCCTGACTCGGGGCTGATCTGAGGACCCTGAGATCATGACCTGAAATCAAGAGTCAGACACTCAATGGACTGAGCCACCCAGGCGCCCCTCAATGCACTTTTATTGAAGGAACAACGATAATAATAATAATAATGGGAAAGTAGAAATTGTGGTTAACGTACATTGAGTGCTCCCTCTGTTCTAAACCCTTTATGTGTTTAAACTTACTGAATCCTCGCCTCAACACTCTTACTAATCTCGATTTTATAGATGGGAAGACTCATGGATAGGGCAAGTAACTGGCTCAGGGTCACCCAAGTAGCAAGTGGAAGAGCCAGCATCTACACGCAAGCGTCTGGCCCCAGAGCCTACCCCCTTCCTGTCATGTATATCTCCAGAACCCTAATATGTTCATCCCTCCCGACCCGGGAAGACACCTTTGAGAATCTGCCCTGAAGATGTAATCAGCAACAGGACAACAAAGGTTGTCTATACGCAAAGGTGTTCCTTGCAGTGTTGCTTACCTTGGACGTGATTTCAGTGTCCAGCAGTAGGCACTGGGTAAATCAGCTTTCTGTATCCGGTATAGAAAACGTCTGGCCATTAAACAGGAATTCTGGATACTCTAGAGCAGCGGGGGTCGTTCGAGGAGAGAAAAGGGGTGTACATACTGCCTGATGGCAAGTCAGTGACGATCTCAACATCTTGTACACACGGGTCAGAGACTCGAAGGGGATACGAAAAGCTAATCTGGGGCACCTGGGTGGCTCAGTCGGTCAGGCAGCTGACTCTTGATTTCGGCTCAGGACAGGATCTCAGGGTCCTAGGATCGAGCCCCGCATTAGGCTCTGCACTCAGCGCAGAATCTGCTTGGGATTCTCTCCCTCCCCCCCACTCATTCTTGCGCTCTCTCTCTCTTTCAAATAAATAATGTTTATTCTTTTTTTAAGATTTTATTTATTTATTTGACAGAGACACAGTGAGAGAGGGAACACAAGCAGGGGGAGGGGGAGAGGGAGAAGCAGGCTCCCCGCTGAGCAAGGAGCCCGATGTGGGGCTCGATCCCAGGACCCCGGGATCATGACCTGAGCCGAAAGCAGACGCTTCACGACTGAGCCATCCAGGCACCCCAGTAAATACATCTTTTTTTTTTTCTTTTTTTTAAAGATTTTATTTATTTATTTGAGAGAAGGAGACACAGCGAGAGAGGGAACACAAGCAGGGGGAGTGGGAAAGGGAGAAGCAGGCCTCCCACCGAGCAGGGAGCCCGATGCGGGGCTTGATCCCAGGACCCTGAGATCATGACCCGAGCTGAAGGCAGACGCGTAACAACTGAGCCACCCAGGCGCCCCCCAGTAAATACATCTTTAGCAAAAAAAAAAAAAGCTATTCTGGTGGCACTATTGGGGCGGATTTGGGGTGGATGCTGTTTCTCCTTTCTGCAGACTCTCTGTAAGGCTTACATGTTGTTTAAGTGTGGGAGAAAGAAAAGAGACTGAGCCAGGAGTCAGGGCACCTGGTCAGCTTTGTGGGTGGCTTTAGGCAAGTCACTGTCTGCTGGGCTCTGGTTCTCTCATCCATAAGAAGGCTGGTTGGCCTGGCTGCTCCGAGCCCCCTTCCCGCATGAAGGTCGCACAGACTGGGGGCCAAAGGAGCTGCCCATCACACTGATGCTATGGAGAGGAGGAAATGAGGCCCGGAGCAGGCTCATGGCTGTCCTCTGCCCTCACTCCTTGGGACTCAGCCACAGCTGTCCGTGGTGGTCTCCCGCAGGGCAAATCACTTCCCCAGCCTGCCCAGCAACCTAGGTGGGCTTGTTAGGAGAGTATACATTTGAAAAGCTCCTATATACACTGGAGCTTTTGAAATGTAGGCATGACATTCCCGAATCTGTAGTAATGAACACCAAACTCGTACAAGTTATAAAAGTAGTATGTAGTAGTTGTAACAAGTCAACTAATGCCTAGGTATATGCAGAAGTGTTCAATTCTCCCTTTCCAGTCCCACCCCTGACGGTTTGGGGCACAGCCACCCACTCCTTTCTCTGCTCCTGCAAACATATTCTATATTCTCTTTCCTTTTCCAACTGAAATGAGATCTCACTTTATGCCTTATCCTACAACTTGCTTGCTTTACCTTAGGATATACGATGGCTGTCTTTCCATCTCAGTACCTATAAGGTGTCATTTATGATAATGGCTACTTCACCTGCTATAGTAAAGATGCGCTATAATGTATTCAGCTTGTCTAGTTAGTTGAAGAGTCAGCCTGTTTCTGGTATTTTGCTATCACAAAGAGTATTTCAGCCATTGTATGTATCTTTTTTAAAGAAATTTTAGTTGACATACGGTGTTATATTAGCTTCGGGTGTACAACATAGTGATTTGACAGTTTATCATTATCCGTGCTCCGCCCATGACTTATTTATTTGGTAACTGGAAGTTTGTGCCTCCTAATCCCCTCCACCTATTTTGCCCATCCCCCAACTTCCTCCCCTCTGGCAATCACCAATTCTCTGTATTTATGATTCTACTTCTGTGTTTGTTTGTTCATTGTTTTTTTTTTTCCACATGTTTAGTGAAATCATATGGCATTTATCTTTCTCTGAGTTACATCACTTAGCATAATACCCTCTAGGTCCATCCATATTGTTGCAAATGGGAAGATTCTTTTTGTGGCTGAGTAATGTGTTGGCGAGGATGTAGTGAAAAGGTAACCCTCATGTGCTATTGGTAGAAATGTAAATTGGTGCAGCCACTGTGGAAAACAGTTTGGAGTTTCCTAAAAAAAAAAAATTAAAAATAGAAATACCATACAATCCAGTAATTCCACTACTGGGTATTTACCCAAAGAAAATGAAAACACCAATTCGAAAAGAGGTATGCCCCACTCTGTTCATTGCAGCATTATTTACAATAGCCAAATGATGGAAGCACCCTAAGTGTCCATCAATAAATGAATGGATAAAGAAGATGTGGTGTAGATATCCAACATATATATCTGGATATAAGTGAAGATACAGAGGTACACACCGAGTAAGAGAGAAAGAGAGGAACAGAGGCCTGTATCCTGGGAGTTTTTATATGTGTGGGTTAGTTTTAACCAATGTGGCATTTCTGAATTAAAAGAGATAAACATTTACAATTTCAATTGAAATTTGTGGTCATTGCCTGTGTTCTCAGTCGACAGATCCCGGAAGTACAGTTTGGGGGGTCATAACTTGTTTTGACTTTGCACGGGGGTTTTCACACTGACCCTGGTAAGGCCAGGACCCACTGGGGTAGACCAATAAGAGAGGGCTTGCCAGGCAGAGGAACTGCCCCTGGCCTGCCTCTTCTCTCAGGGAAGGTAAGAAAGAAAGAACTGAAGCTACTTTGTAGAACTCACTCATTTTCTCCTTTGTTTCCTAGTGTATACTTTTGACCTGATTTGGAAGCAGTCCATCTGTTCCGTGCATAGAGCATGGGGCCTAGTGGTCAGGAGGTCTTTCCAACATCATAGGACCTGAAGCATCAGACCCCTAAGGGCCCAAGTCGACCACCTGGGTCACATCTCTTGTGTTGCAGAGGGCGAAACCAAGGGTCACCACGAAGTCCCAAAGCAGCCTCCAGCTCCCAGACCAGTACCCAGGGACATTTATTTAGTACCCACTGGGAGCAGGGCACAGAGTCAGGCCCTGGATTTGCATCTACTAGTATGCCTGGGGACAAGTCCATTTACCTTCTTTGGGACTCAGTTTCTCTGCTGGGTACCCCAGGGCTGCCAAGAGGATCCCCAGAGATCACAGAAAGAGTTAAGTGTATGTGGAAGAGGTGGGGGCTGACTCGCCGAGGGCCTTGTGGGGCTCTGCCCACGTGAACACCGTTCCTCCCTTTGCTCCCCAGCTGGTGTTCCCTCTCGAATGGTTCCCACTCAACAAGCCCAGCGTGGGGGACTACTTCCACATGGCCTACAACGTCGTCACGCCCTTCCTCCTGCTCAAGGTACAGTCCCGGGCTCCCTGCTCCACCTTCCCACTCTCATCCCCTCCTCCTCCGGCAAGAAGCTGGTGCCGAGCCCTGGGAGGCACGGAAGCAGGTGGAAGCAGGCCCACCCTGCCTCAGCCTGGGGGGCGAAGGCTGTGATGGAGGGACATATCAAAGGCCTGGCCAGGAGGGATGGAGAAACCCTCCCCAAGGAGGGGTGTCTGATTTGGGCGTCAGCCTCGTGTGGCAGGGGATAATGTGGGAGAGGCGGTCAAGCAAAAGGACCTGAAGACAGGCTCATGCTTGTGAAACTACAGTACATTTGGGAAGGCTGAGGCATAAGGAGTGAGTGGGTTGGTTGTCTGGGGAGAAGTCAGGGACCAGTTGGGAAGGCAATTAGGGTCCAGGTGGCAGTAACAGAGGTGACCTCTACTCTGGCCTGGGGATCCAGGATTTGGAGATGTCACTGGGAGCACAGAGCTATCCGGGACTGCCGGCTTTGCACGTCCAAATAAGGGCTCTTAAAACAACTATCGCCATCTACCATCCCCATCATTTTGTTTCTAAAAAGATGTTTCTAATCACCAAAAGTAGCAGGGTATAAAATTAGAATTCAGAGGAGTCCTAAGTTAAATAGTTTGGTTTCCAAAGCATCCTCCCCACCCCCACCCCACCCACTTCCCTGACGTTTTCTTCATGATTACCATGCACCAGTGGCTCAGGGATCAGAGGGTCCCGCCGCTGGTGAGCCAGCCCAGCCACCCGGAGACACAGCCGGGGGAGGGAGAGGGCCAGGCCTGGAGCCTGCATGCCTGTGCTGAAGGCCTGGCTGTCACTGCCAGCACAGGATTGGTATGCGACCTTGGGCAATCAGCTAGTCCCTCTGAGTCTACCTCCTCTCTGAGGAAAGGGGGTGCTGTTTCCCAGCTCCTGCTGGCTTCACGGGGATCCTATGAGACTCTGGAGGCTGGCTTAGCCTGCTAAAGCGACCCAATTTCTGAGTGACTTTTCAGCCAGTGGCATCCATCAGATGCCAGGCAGGGGCGGAGAGACCAGGGGGTGTCTCATGTTGTGGTGGAGGCTGAGTCATGCTGTCTGGCGTCCCTCTGACCCCAGCTCATCGAGCGGTCCCCTCGAACCCTGCCGCGCTCCATGATCTACATCAGCATCATCACCTTCGTCATGGGCGCCAGCATCCACCTGGTGGGCGACTCCGTGAACCACCGTTTGCTCTTCAGTGGCTACCAGCACCACCTGTCTGTCCGGGAGAATCCCATCATCAAGAATCTCAAGCCAGAGACGCTGGTGAGGCCGCCTCCCCCACTGCATGTAAAGCCTTTGGGCACAGTCTGCCCTGGAGGCCAAAGGGATCACCCCCACCCGTCACTGTGCCTGACCTGCTAAAGGCGTTCTGCTAGGTGAGAGCGCTGTACCCGCCGAGCGAGGATGCTGGTGACACTTTAGGAAGTGGCACTTTGGCTCCCACCTGGGCTCCCCGCAGTAGAGGGCAAGACTGAGGGTGGGGAATGAGGGCTGCTGGGGGGAGGCCCGGGCCTGGGGAAGGGTGGGCTGCGTGGGCCCCAGCAGCCTGCCCCGCCCCCCCTCCCGCCGCCATGCACCTGCCGCTCTCACCTGCCATGCCCCTGTCCTCAGATCGACTCCTTCGAGCTGCTCTACTACTACGACGAGTACCTGGGCCACTCCATGTGGTGAGTGTTGGGGCCAGTCTCAGCCAGGAGGGCAGCGCCAGGCGGGCTGCCCTCCCCAGGGACCCCGGGCCCGGCCTCGCGGACACTGGACGAGCCTCTGGGTGTGGGGCGCGGAGCCCTCCGGGTCTCCGCGCGGCAGTGCCCGCGGCGGCCACTAGAGGGCAGCGAGCGGCTGTCCCTCCCCGGCCCTGCCGGAGCCTGGGGGGAGGGGTCAAGTCCCGCCCTCTCGCCGCGGTGGGGTGAGCGTGGGCGCCGAGTGGGGACCCCCACCGAGTCAGAAGCGGTCTTTGGGAGGGGAGGTCTGGACGAAGCCGAGGAGGGCCAGCTGGACCCGAGGGGGGAGGAGCTGTCTGTCCCACTCCTCGAACTCCGGGAAGGGGCCCCCCTTCACCCCAAAGGCGGCGGAAACCTCCCAGCTGTGCGCAGCCGCGGGAGAGCCGGGGCCCCAGCTGCCGGCAGCTGTCTGTTCCGCCCCCCACCTTACAGGAGGAGCTGGGGCCAGTGAGAGGGTTTGCGGGGGGGGGGGTTGGGGCCGCCAGCAAGCCCTGCACCCCGTGGCCTCAGCCCTGAGTGAGGTGGCCGGCTCCTGGCACACCGGGCCGACACTCGTGTTTCCAGGGTCCATTTAGAACAGGCAGAGTTGGTCCTCTTGGCTGTGAGTCCAGGGGCCCTGGACAGGCCTTTGCCAGAGACCCTTCCTAGGGAAGTTTGGGAAGGGAGGCGGGGGGGGGGGGGGGGGGGGGGGGGAAGACAGGGTAGCTGAGAGAAGGGTCTGCGGGAGAGGCAGCCTGTGTGGAGAGGAGAGAGGCTGGTACTTTTGGGTGAGACGCTGTGTGTGGGGAAGGGGTGAGGCTGGGGGTTAGGTATGGGGGAGGGGGCTTCACAAAGCCCCTTGGAGGACCCCAGCGGGTATGGTTCTCTCTTTCTCTCTCTCTCTCTCTCTCTCTCTCTTTTTTTTTTCACCTGGACCTGGAGGCTCTCCCCCCTTGGCCCTGCTGGGTACGCCTGTTCCAAGTTGGGGGGCGCTGCTGGTGTGTGGGGTGCCAGGGTGAGACAGAGGCACCCCCTCCACACACCCACGCGGAGTGAGGTGGCCTGTGGGCCTCTGACTTGCATGTGCCAGGGAACAGGCCTCCTCTTCCTGCCTCCTTCCTTTCCCACCCTGGACCCCCAGCCCTGGCCTAAACCGGGTGTTTTGTAAACCATAAAGCGACCTGCACGGGATGGTGCAAGGGGGCAGCCCAAGGAGGGGGAGGGCCGGGTGGAGGGGTGATGGGGCGGCTGGGCGGGTCTCTGAGGCCCTGGCCTCCCTGTTGCAGGTACATCCCCTTCTTCCTCATCCTGTTCATGTACTTCAGCGGTTGTTTCACTCCCATCAAAGCCGAGAGTTCGATGCCAGGGGTGGCCCTGCTCCTGGTGATGCCCAGTGGCCTATACTATTGGTGAGTGGACCTCAGACCTGGGGGAGGGGTGGGTGGGGACACTTAGTGAGCCAGGCGGTAAAAATGTGCTCTTGACCACAGTCCTGCTCTGGGCTCCTGCTTCCTCCTCTGTCTAGTGGGGACGGTGACAGTGCTTTGTGGTAGCGTCTCTGTTACCAGGAAGCCAGGCCTGAGTGCCCCTCTCCATTCTCATGCTGCTCTACCCTACCTCCCGGAACCCCAGTGCCATAGACTCTACCTGTAATATCGAGCCCATAGAGCCCTGTGGGCCTCAGTTTCCTCCTCTGTGAAATTGGGACAGCCCCTGCTTGTCTCCCTCTTAGGAGATAGTGAGGATCTAGAAGGAGGGAAAGAGGCTTCATAAACTATAAAGCACTATGAAGGTGACAAGGACAGATAAGGGGGAAGTTTCTTGCCTGGTTTCTCTTCTTCCAGAGCTCTCCTCCCATTTCAGAGGACTCAGGCCTCAGCCAGGCCCCTACCTCTGTTCTGTCACTTCTGCCCCGGGGACAGGCTCCCCCTGAGCATTGGTGGGTGTCATAGGAAGGACTGGACCCTTCTCTGATGGAAAGCTTGCCTCAGAATGAAAAGGGCCTTCTTTCCTAGGGCCGGGTCCCTAGGATCCACCCCTGGGTCCATCCCCGGCCAGGCGGAGAGGGTCGACCAGGGCCAATCTGTATGCCCCCTGAGGGCAGAGGATGAAAAAGAATGAGTGGCAACCACAGCAAGAAGGAAAGTGGTTCGACATGCAGAGGGCTTCCTGCCTGGTTCTCCCTGCCAGCGTGTTAGTGTAGAGATGGCCACAGTAGGAACAGTAACCGTTTTTGTTGAGCAACATGCTTTTCCAAGTAAGAGATGTACACAGCTCTTGTCAGTCTCTTAGATCTCGAGAGATAGGGCTACTTATGCCCCTTTCTAAGTAAGAATGCAGAAGCTCCAGGATGTCAGGGTCCCATAGCCACTGAGTTGCAAAGCTGTCATTCCTTGAGTGGAATGGGTCAGCATCGTGTTTCTCTCTAGAGGCAGGGGAATGGACCAGACAACCTCCCAGAAGCCCTCCAACAAATGCTACCGATTCCTGGCCATGTGCTAGGTACTGCCTTAGAAGCTGCAGAGAACCCTGGGAGATCTGAGCCTGTCCCAGCCCTCAAGGAGACAGTAATGACAACCCTATGAATTGCAGCTGCATTCCCAAACTCAGATGCCTATAGGAACCAAGCTGGTAACAGAAGGGCATCAAGTGGGCCTTGAGTAAGGCAATAGGGAATGGCGGGGACTGTGGCAAACAGCAGAACCATGCTCTTTCCAGAGGGACAGCCATTTTCTCCTCGAATCAGTTTCGTGCGGGTAGAGGGGCCTGATATGACCAAAGAAACCAGAAATCCACATGTTCTGCTAATCTGCTATTTAAACGTTGGTAACAAACTCAACATCTTTAAAAACAGCAACTCTACAAGCCAAATCAGTCTGCTGCCTGTGGGCCGTGGCTCGGAGTAGGACGGTTCCCTGCTCCTCCCGTGAGATGAGCTGCTCTGGCCGACCCGGGGGCAGCCTGGTGTGGGGGTCCAGGGAGGGATGCCGGGCCGGGTAGAGCCCCTGACCGCTGCCCCCCCCCCGCCCGCCGGCCTCCTCAGGTACCTGGTCACCGAGGGCCAGATCTTCATCCTCTTCACCTTCACCTTCTTCGCCATGTTGGCCCTTGTCCTGCACCAGAAGCGCAAGCACCTCTTCCTGGACAGCAATGGCCTCTTCCTCTTCTGCTCCTTCGCCCTCACCCTCCTGCTTGTGGCGCTGTGGGTTGGCTGGCTGTGGGATGACGCGGTGCTCAGGAAGAAGTACCCGGGTGTCATCTACGTCCCTGAGCCCTGGGCCTTCTACACCCTGCACGTCAGCGGCCGACGCTGAGGCCCTGGCACCAGGCGCCGGCGCCCTGCCTGGCGGGACACGGGCCGCGGAGGGTGGCCAGGCAGGCACGTGCGGACGCGTGTGTCCCCCGGGGGTGCGCTGTCGTAGGCGCGGCCGGAGGGGTCCGCCCTGTGCACCTGGCCGGGCTTGCGCGCGCGTGGGGAGCGTCGGCCTAAGGCTCGATTGTTTGGAGCAAGTTTCTCTTCGGTTTGGATCTTTTCGGGGTGGGATGTAGTCGGAGGCCGTGTGGGCCCAGGCCGAGCTGCGGGCCCTGCCTTCTCATGCACCTGACCGGAGTCGGGCCCTCTCACTCACCGCTCGGGGCGGTCCCCTCCTGGGGTGGCTTCTGGGAGCCATGCTGGGTGGGCCTGGCGGGTGGGGCAGCAGTGGTGAGGGGACTGGGCATGACACCCGCCACCTGGCTCACCCCTCGGACCTGCCCTGACCCTGAAGGCCAGATTACAAAGGTTCAGTTAACTTTCTGGGTATTGTTGAGCAAAGCACATCCCTCCTCTGGGCCTCATTTGCACTAGCTGGGACGAGGGCCCAAAGTGTGTCAGTGGGCTGGTTGTCGGGGCAGCCCTGGATTGGACGGCTCGTTCTCTCTTGTCGCTGCCCTCTGCTACCCCGGGAGGGGTGTGTGCACCGCAGATCCTCCCCCAAGCTGAGGTCACACGGAGGGTTGCGCCGCCCGACTCCCCTGAGCACCATTTCCCTCTGCCAGAAGCTGTCTGCCTGCTCCCTCCCAGAACTGCGGCACCCCTTCCTGGCAGCCTGACCAGGATGTCTGAGCTGCAGCTGAAGGCTGTGTTCTCAAACACTGCAGTATTCCCTGAGCCCCGTTATAGGGTCGGGGGGCATTTGGGGGATGTTGGGAGGGGGGCAGATCTGGAGGCTCTCCCCCATAGGCCTTGTCTCAGCCTGAATCTCATGCTTTCCGCCCATGGCCCTGCTCCCAGAAAAGGGAGGCTTCATTCCCAGCGGGACACCCCGGGCCCGCCTTCCCCCAGGCCTTGGGGCCAGGTCTGCCCACACAGCTGCCGGCACCAGTCTCATTTTCCAGCCAGCACTGGCTCGGCGAGCTTGTGGGTCTCAGGGGGCCTGCCCTGCCTTCCCTGGGCCCTGCCTCCTCTCCTGTGTCCTCAGGGAGCCCTGTGCCTCAGATGCTCCTTTCACGTTGGGCTCCCTCTGCAGCCCCCTTAGAGGCCCCCCAGCCCCGGGTTCCATGGGCGGAGAGAGGTGTGAATAAAGACCAGTGTGGAGCCCAGCCTGGCTGGTGGCTGCTGCTTTCTCTGGGTGTGAATTTGGGCAGCAGGAGGGAGATCCCTGGGGCCGGAGAGACAGTGGCTGGCCTGTGGCCGGTCAGGGGCTGCAAGCAGGCCCTGCTACTGTCTGTTGGCCTTCCGTGCCACCCTGTGGGATGCTGGGGGTGGGGGGCAAGAAGGGCCTCCTCCCAGTCAGTTCCAGCTCTCTTGTGAGGAGTCTGGGGGGCATGGGGGGCGGGGAGCCAGGATAGGGCATCTCCAGGCCTGCCTCTCCGAAATGGCCCCTCAGGCCTCCCCGCTCTGCTGCGAGCCCACTCCAGAGGCTGAAACAGAGAAGGTGCCCTTTGGGGGAAGGTGGGGAGGCTGGTTTGTTGGTGGTTGGCACCGAGCCTTGGGCAAGCCGCTTACTCCCTCGGGGTCTCAGACTCACCACACAGCCCCCAGGACTTACTGGGGCTCCTGTTAGCAGACAGCGCTGGACAGGAGATGCTCGACGCCACATCGTCATAGGCTCTGCCCCCACCTGCCCAGCAACCTCACTGGATTCCTTCCTCACCTTGAGGACACTGGTCCTTCCCACCCTGTCTCTGGCCTCTTCTCCACAGCAAGACTTGCTGGGTGTCTTATGAGCAGGCACAGGCCTGGTCATGTGGGGCCTGGAGCTTACACAACTTGGGGGGGTGGTCCTTGATAAGAAAACAGAAAAAAAAAGCGAATAAAAAATTAGGTATGAGGGGCGCCTGGGTGGCTCAGTCAGTTAAGTGTCTGACTTGATTTTGGCTCAGGGCACCACCTCAGGGTCATGAAATCGAGCACCGCATTGGGCTCTGTACTTAGCTGAGAGTCTGCTTCAGATTCTCTCTCCCTCCGCCTCCTCCCTGCTCCAGTGCATGTGCACTCTCTCTCTCTCTAAAGTAAATAAATAAATCTTTAAAAAATTAGTTATGAAGGGCACCAGGGTGGCTCAGTTGGTTAGGCGACTGCCTTCGGCTCAGGTCATGATCCTGGAGTCCCGGGATCGAGTCCCACATCGGGCTCCCTGCTCAGCAGGGAGTCTGCTTCGCCCTCTGGCCCTCCCCCCTCTCATGTGCTCTCTCTCAAATAAATAAATAAAATGTAAAAAAAAAAAAAAAAGTAGGTATGAAAGTGAATGTTTAGAATGGAAAGAAATTACAGCAAATTATTAGAGTCTTGGAGATTTCGTGTCCCTCTTGACCGAGATCTCTTTGGGCAGTTTACTGGAAACGTTTCCCTAGAAATACTTCTTAATTGCGACCTGGCTTCCCGCTCCATCTGGCTCTCCTGGAGGCCAGTGGTTCTCAAAGTGTGGCGCTGACTGGCAGCATCAGGACGGCATTGGAAAATACAAATTCTTGCCCCATTCTAACTGCTGAGTCAGAACCCGGTGGTGGGGGCCCTTCCGGTGAACAAAGTCTCGGCCCCCAGGTGGTGTCGGAGGGGGTTTCTGTTTTTTATGTTGAGTTGAAGTGTAGCTTTACACACGACCCCTGGGAAGGGGTCCGGGAAGTATACAGCTGGATGGATTTTCATAGCAACCCCTCATGGAGCCACCCCTCCCCGAGCAGGTCTTTTTGATCATGCACTGACTGACCTAGACCCAAGAAAATGTCTTATCTCCCCCGTAAGCCCCTTCCCAAGCACGGGGCAATCCCGAGCCAGTGCTCTGGCCTGGCCCCTGCAGGCCTCCCCACAAGCCTCAGCTCTGCGCCCCCCGACCCCCCCGGCCTCCAAGGCCCCACATGACTTCGCCTCACTTCTCCCCACAAGGCTGTTAGCAGAAGCTCCCTCCTCTCCTGCCTCCTGCATCCCGCCCATCTTTCCTCTTCTCAGCCCCAACAGAGAGGAGTCAAATCCTCCAGCTGAAATTCTCTGGGTCTAGAAACAGATGTGAAGAGGTGACTCAGGAGACATCATCTGGGGGAAGAGAGAATCTTCCATGTGGACGTGGTCAGGAAGGAGGGAGGGAGAGCAGACCAAGGGCAGGCCCCTGTCCACGCCAGGCACGTTAGCAAGAGGTCCCCCTTCCTGCAGGCACGTGCAGCCCCTCACCAGGACCCACGCGTCCCCCGGGGCTGGGGGCCCTTGTGCCGAGCACGGCCTGTTGGGCCCTCCATGCCAGTGCTAACAAGGCGGGGGGTGCCCCGGAGTTGGAGCCCCGCAGACTGGGAGCCAGCAGCTGGGGAGGAGAGGAAGGGTGAGACCCAACTGTGCCCAGCGCAGCGTCCCTAGGGAACCACCACACTTCTGGGGCCAGGAGATGGGGACAGGCTGAAGGGGGTGGTGGGGGGAGTTCTGGGGGGGCAGAAGAGGGAAATGAAGAAGAGGAGCCTTCCTGGCTGGGGAAAGTCACCTAAGAGGCCTCCCTGTGAGCCCCTCCCTGGGGTAGCTGGTGGTGGGGCCTGAGACCCCACTGCAGGCACCACCCCACCCCTACCCTCAGGGTCCCCAGAAGGAAGGAAGTGGAGAACCAATTGTGCGCTGGCCCTTTGATTCTCTCGACAGCCCTGTGATGAGGCCCGGTGCAGAAACTGAGGCACAGCCAGTGAAATGACGTGCCAAGGTCACTCAGCAAATGGACCTGAGGGAAGGATTTGAATCCAGCCCAAGAGCACGGAGCTTGGGCCCCCTCTCCAAAATGCATCCCAACGCCTTGGCAGTGGGGACGTCCATTGCTGGGCTGTCCCATCATGGCAGGGTCTCCTTCCCGCCCAGAGGATGCTGTGTGATGGGTCTTCTGTAAGAGTGCAAAGCACCCGACACCTAGGAGTTGTCAGCCCCCAGCCTAGTCCCAGGGGAGAGAAAGGATTCTCCCGAGGCACCCCCTTTCTGTGTATCACCGCCCCTCCCCCGTCCACGGAGGGCCCCCCCCCCCCCGGGGAAGGAACGGCGGCATGTGTCCCATTTGCCAGAGAGCACCAGCTTCCCGATGCGGGACGAGTCGTGGGGAGCCCTTGTGCAGCCCCATTTACTCGCAGTGAAACGCGTTGCCCTGCCCAGCGGGTGGCCGGGGCATCAGCTGTGCGCGGGAAGCTGGAAAGCTGGAATCTGACCCCGGGGCGGGCGCTGGGCCTGGTCGCCATGGCAGCTGCGGATTTATTACTGGGGCCTCCACCCAGCTTGGCGGACTTTCGACTTGAAGCCGGGAGGAAGAGGACTGAGCGGGCGGTTGTGGGAGCCTCGAGCCCACAGGCGACAGCCTGAGGCCCCAGGATGGTGAGTAGGGGGCTGTGTCCTCGAGCCTGGCTGCCCCGGGCTGGGGGTGCGGGAGGCACTTTCACGGAGTCCCCTCCCTGACTGTTTTCCTCTCTCTGCTACAGGCCAAGTTTCTTTCCCAGGACCAAATTAATGGTAGGTTCGCTTTGCTCTTTAATTAGCAACTTGCAGCAAAATATGGGTCTCATTAGGCAATTTGCTCTGCTCTTTTTGTCGGTGGGAAGGAAGACGGCTGGTGGGAGAGCCGGGCCCACCCACAGGCAGGGGGCCGCCTGCTGCTGGGGACACCACTGTGGGGGGTGGGTAGTGACCACCACCACTAGCTGCGGGGGGGGGGGCAGCGTGGAGGGGGTCTCAGAGGTGGAAGTGTGGTGTTACATTTGTCAGTGGGACTTAGCAGTGGGGGAGATAGGAGAGGGCGCCCACTAGGTGCTTCTCCAGGCCCCATAGCTGGATTCGGGAGGAGGGATGGGAGATGGGGGGGTGCCAGCAGTAACTGGCTGTGGCTCATGGTAGAACAAAAGAAGGGGCTGAGGGGGAAAAGAACCCTGGTCTGCACTCTTGGGCAGGCGCTTCTACTCTCTGGGCCTCAGTCTCCCCATCTCTGAAATGGGGGTGGGCTGAGGTGGCCTCTGCAGTCTCCGGTGCCCTGACATCAAGCCGTGTTTGGAGCATTTACTCCCCGAGGCCCCTAGCCAGCCCGCCACCTAGTGTAGCACAGCATGGAGTTGTGTTTCCAGAAGGCCAGGAGGGGAGAGTTGGGTTACACAGAACCCAGCGGCCTGGCAGAGCCCAGCTAGGATCCCGCAGACGCTGGGGGTGTGCTTAGGGTTACTTGAGCAGGGATGCCAGAGTTCTGGGTCCTCGGAGCTTGGTCTAAAGCGGGTGGGGGGCGGGGGTTGCAGTCTCCAGGTGGGCACCTTGTGTTAGATGGCTCAACATCCTCACCCCAAGAAGAGGGCCAGAGCAGGGACTGTGAAAACATAAGGCCCAGGGCAAGGGCCTCTCCTGCCCAAGTCTGAAGGGCAGACTGAGTGGTGACTCAAGGCTGGAGTCCAGCCATCAGCCCCAGGAACCCCCCTCCACCAACCCACACCTAGTTCTGAGGCTCAGTGACCCTCCCTCCTGGGATATCCCAGAAGGGAAGGAGGGAAGCTTCCCTTTGTATCCCCGTATCTGACATCAAGAAAGTGGCCACTAATGTTTCATGAATGAGAGATTGCCCAGAGGCAGGCCACTGGAGTGGGAAGGGCAGGGCTCTTGGACGCAGCAGACCGGGGGTCCAGTCACCTCTGAGCCTCAGCTTTCTCCTCTGTGAAGGAGAGAGAATGACACGGCCTCACCAGGCTGCTGTGAGCAAGGGGCAGAGAGGATGTCAGTCAAACACATGACCCTGGGCCTGGCTCAGGCCGGCTGTCCCCCAGACTCACTCTAGCTAGCATGAGCTGGGTGGTACAATTTTAGGAATATTTTGAGCTGTTTGTTAAAATCAGCCATTATTAAATAATGCAGCATCAAACCATGTTTCAATCCCTGCATCTATACAGTGGACGTTTTAAAATAACCCTACTGCAGTCAGCAGTGCTGAAGATTTGAAAGAGGTTTCAGTTTAATGAATGTAATTTGTGCAAGGGTGGGAAATAGTGTAACGGTAGCTCACTTAACAGATTTAATGACAACACATTCACGGGGGAAAGAGTTGCATTCATTGGCATGCGGCCTCCCTTGGCAAACCATGGAGGCTATAGGTTGGCAACGGACACGAGAGTTGGCCAAACTCACTTGTGATAATCAGCTGGCTAGAAAGGAACTTATAAAGAATAGTGCACATTTTATTATTATTTATAAATGGTGTGCTACACATCCTTTATGTCTGTAAAAGTTATAATAAACTTGTGTCCATGTATCATCAGAGCCAGTTATTAAACATGCACCAGCACACAGCTGTGATGCTATAGGCCCTGGAGAGGATTCTCTCCTGCCCCGGGGCATTTGCATTCTCAAAGGGAAGACCTGAGGGGGATTTTTAACCAATTTATTCTTTCCTTCACCAAATACAAGAGTCCTTTCTTTGTGCCAGGCCAGTTCTAGGCACTAAGATACGGCAGCGAATGCAATGGACAAAATCTGTTCGCTTCACTCACACTTGAGGGAGGAAGGGGACAACAAAAGCAGTAACATGTATAGGCTGTTAAATGGCCTGCCCGTCTGAAGAAAAGGCCGGAAAGGGGAGCAGAGAGGTGTGGGGGTCCTGGGGGCTGGAGAGGGGCTGCAAGGAGAACAGCCTGCTGTCCTGTTCCAGGACAGGAGTCCCCATTCAGATCTGGCCTTCCAGGTCTTTCGATGGTATATTTGTCAAGGTGGGAAGATAGAACGTATTTTATGTAACATTTTGTTAGGAGATGGGACTCCATTTGCACCTGGCCCTGATGATGTCAGGGGCATGGTCCCAGGTACTGATCCACGTGGGAGAGGAAGTTTGCCCGTCCGTAAAGCCTGGCCAATTCCAGGCAAGGGTGTGATGCCTGCCCCCTTGCACAGGGGCCAGGCAGGGACAAGTGTCATAGGTTGAGGTCCCAGGGGGCACACTCTGACAGAAGACAAGGTGGGTGGCCATGAGAGGTCCCCAGGAAGGGCACTGGGGGAGTTTCAAGCCCTACATGCGGGGTGGCTCCCTCTCTGTGACCCCCTGTAAGTGATGACATCACCCCCACTGGCACGGGGCCCTCTTGGAGGGAATTAGGTTTTGCAGGAACCAAAGGTGGGATCTTAGGCCAGGCTCTCGTGCTGCTTCCCCTGGGCCACTTCAGTTCCTGCCCCCTGGTCATGTCTGTGTTCTGGCCCTCTCCAAGCCCAGGCTCTGGAAAGTTCTGAAAGGGCTAGGCTTTCCCCTTCAACCTCTCCACAGGCACGAAGGTGGCTAATTGTCCCTAAACGCCACCAGGGAAGCTGCCTTTTATTAGCAGCACCCCTGAAATCCTCAAGGAGAGGCCTTAATTGGGGAACATGAAGGGGCCTTAGGGCAGGAGCTGGGGGCCTCCCTCCCTTCAGCTTCCTCCTACTCCCTTCTGCCCTCCGGTGGCCTCTGCCTGGGAATCCAGGATCCAGAGTGGCCTCATGGGTGGAGCTTTGTTTCAGGGACCGGGCTGCCTCCCCACCCCCAGGCCCTCAGCCGCCCCAGCCTTCAGTGGCCCCCCTGCACAATGGGAACAGTGGAGGCACGGCATCACGCACCACGGGGCCATCGCAGGATGAAACAGTAGTGTGAGCCTGCCATTGGTTTTGTTATTACCAGCTGAGGAGCGGCTGGCCCAGGCCTCCGAGGCACCAGCCAGGTGGTGTGAGGAGCAGGGCAGCTGGGTGCTGAGAGGCCCGGATGGGGCTCAAGCAGTGGCTCCCCGCTGTGGGCCTCAGGGATTGGAGAGTCACCAGGGCAGCTCTTGACCAACTCTTGACGGCAGCCCCACCCCAGCCTGTATGGGAATCTCGGTGGTGGGGCCCAGGCACACCTTCCCCAGCTCGCTGCTGGCCTCACCGTGCCCCCAGGGCAGGGAGCTGGGCTCCGCTGGGCTGCGAGACGCGGAGCCTTAGCTCCGGCAGCCATTGCATTTCCTCCCAGGAGCTAGGGGTGGGGAGGGCGGTCAGCCGGATCTAGTCAGAGCCTGGGAGAGCCCCTGGAGTCTTTCAGAACAGGACCAGGGCTGTGCCCGAGGACAGCTGGAGGGTTCAGCAGCCTGGAGGTGGCGGGCTGGAGAGCAGGCTCAGCAGTGCCCACCACATAGGACAGCCATTCTCTGCCAGGCCCCCCAGAGGGGATTCCTGCTCCTCTCAGTAACCCAGAGGCATTATTACCCTGGTTTCCCAAATAAGCTGTCTTTGCAAAGGTACCCTGGATCCTGCACGCCCTGCTATAGACTCCTGGTCTCCATGGGCTGGCCCTGGAGGGTAGGATTGCTTTCCTTTGGTTTTAGTCAGTTATGGAAGGGGAGAAAAGAGGAAAAGAAACAGAGAAGGAAGGGAGGAGGGAGGCAGAAGGGAAGTCAGGAAGGGGAGGGGATAGGGTTGCCAGATAAAATACAGGCCACCCAGTTAAATTTGAATTTCAGATGAACAGCAAAAACTTGAGTATAAGTATATCCCATGCAAAATGTGGGACATACTTATACTAAATATGTATTCATTGTTTATCTGAAATTCAGTTTAACTTGGCAGCCCTGTATTTTTATTTGCTGTATCTGGAAACTCTAAGAGGGGAGGAGGAGAGCAAAAGGAAGGGGAAAGGAAGGGAAGGGAAGGGAAAGGGAGAGAGGGCAGAGAAGGCATGGGGGTGGAGAGCAGTTACATGCCGCCGACTCTTCCTTCTGCGCTGTGCACAGAGTACAAGGAATGCTTCTCGCTGTATGACAAGGAGCAGCGGGGGAAGATAAAAGCTACTGACCTCATGGTGGTGATGAGGTGCCTGGGGGCCAGCCCGACACCAGGGGAGGTGCAGCGGCACCTGCAGATCCACGGGATCGGTGAGTGGGCTGGGCCAGAGCCGGCTGCTGGAGGAGAATACACCATCTGGGCTGGGGGGACAGGCCCCCGAGCCCTGCAGCTGTGGTCCTGGGGCGGGACCAAACAGGTGGGTAAGGATGGTGGGGGTAGGAAGGGCTCAGACGTTTGAGGAGCAGGTGGGAGTCAGAGCTCACCAGCAAAAGCTATGGAGACATCTGGCCAGGTGTGCTGCGTATCACTCAGGCTTCCTCGAATCCCCACAGCAACCAGTGACATGCCCATCTGTCACAGAGGATCACGGGATCTAGGCATTCCATCAAGGTTATCACAAATCTGCAGTAAAGACGGTGTTAACAGTGATCCCATGTGTTAGGAGAAAACAGTTTCCCTTCACTGAGTATTTGTCACATGCTTAGCTCAGACAACTCTGTGAAGTAGGCACCATCCTACTCTGTTTTACAGGTAAGGATCAAGGTTCAGAGTCATTAGGTAATTTGCCCAAGTTCTTAAGCCAGTGGTGGAATCAGGGTTGGGACCCGATTCTTCTTTCAAAGACTGACTTCCTAAAAACTATGCAACACTCCAAGAGAAAAGGTAGAAGAAAACCCACCCAAAGACTGTTCTCTCTGGTGAGGGGTTTAGGGATGATTTTCATTCCCTTTATTGTTTCTTGTATGTTTGACAATGGGAACATCTGGAACTTTTATAACCAGAAACAAGTTCTATTCTTTAAAAAAACAAAAATGAGAAAAACCAGAGAGGTATCAGAGGCCGGGGTGGATGTTTGCTTTGGTGGTTGGACACACAGGAAGGAAAGCCTGGCCCAGAGGGAGGAGGTGGACTGGAAAGAGCACTTGACCTGGAGCCCAGAGGTGACTTCTTGGTGTCTGGACCTCGTTTCCTCCTCTTTCAGATGGATTCACGCCATCTGCTAGGGTTGCTCTGAGGTCCCATCAGAGTGTACCTGTGGCAGTGCTGGGAGCCCCTCGGGGGCGGGGGTGGGCCTCTAAAGATCTGGAGCCGGCTGATGGGGCGCTCAGTGACTGAGATCCCCTGTTTCTAGTTCTGAAGGGGTGGTGGTTTCCTTTGGCTTCTGTCTCCTCCAAACAGGAAGTTGTGGTCAGGGGAAGTTCCGATTTCCTGCAGTTGTAGCCGGCCAGGGCCTGGGTTGAGGCCCCCGGGCATGCTTGGAGGAGGGGCAGAGGCTGCAGTGAGGGGGAAGGCAGATGAGCAGGTGGGACTGGGGCTTGAGGCTTCAGGCAGGGTCACCTGTCTGTCCTTGTAGATGTGCTGCTGTGGCCGCCAAGGAAGGATGGATGCATGGAAATTTCCCTCCAGTTCAGGGCAGGAGGGGGGCTCCCGGAAGGGAGCAGAGGAAGTGTGCCCCATCCTGGTCCTGCCACCGCCCTGTGAGGTGACTCCACACTCTGGGGCTTCCATCTCCTTAGTGGGCAAAATGGGGCAATGGTCATCCTGGTCACTGAGGGTTATTGAGAGGATTAACGAGGCAGATTCATGGTGGGGGCTCAGGAGGAGGGGCTGCATCTTCCTCACGATAACACTGTCACCACCAGAGCACTTCCTGAATTAGGGGGCCCTTGAGCTGGCCATAAAGACTTGGGCAGGAGGCCACTGAGCTTCTTCAAGAAGAGCCTTTTCCTCCCTGCTCACTTTGCTGTGTTTGGGGGTTTCCCAGACAGAGATGGAGAGCTGGATTTCTCCATTTTCCTGACCATTATGCACACACAAATAAAACAAGAGGATCCAAAGAAAGAAATTCTTTTGGCCATGTTGATGACAGACAAGGAGAAGAAAGGCTACATCATGGCGTCTGAGCTACGGTCCAAACTCATGAAACTGGGGGAGAAGCTCACCCACAAGGAAGGTAAAGGCCTGAGTCCCTCTTTCCCAACAGTGGGGGAGGAGTAGGGAGCTGGGGGGAGGACAGCAAAGGCCAGTCCCTGCCAGCAGGACTGTGCAGACACCGCAGGTGATGCTTGCCTCCGATGGCTGCAACTAGATGTCACGCTCAGGGAACTTGAGCCCGAGGGAAGAAGTAGGGGCCCGGAGAGCGATGGGAGAAGTCTGCCAGGGGGAGGGAAGGCCTGGGGAGAGCTAGCTAGGGTCTACTTGGGCCTTCATTTAGTGCTCACAAGACCCCTGGGGGCACCAGTGCCCCCCTGATACTGACAGGTGACAAGCTGGGGCTTGAATGCAAGTCTGTTAGACACACATACGCCCCCTCAGACTCTCTCCCCTTGCCAAAGCTGTCTTTGGAAGTTGTTGCTAATGCCAAGAGTTTCCAAACTGAGATGCTCCTTTGCCCCCCTCCTCACGACTCAGCCAGTTTGAAGAGCTCTTCCAGAAGGAGCGTCTGCGGTGGTCTTTGCCTCGCACCTTCCAGCAGGCCAGTGTGTCTTCCCGCCTCAGAGCAGGCCGAGGGACTGGGTCTTCTGGGCACGCCATGTGGACATTGTAGGGGTGACCCCCGCGCTGGGCCGTCAGCCGGCATCCTTCCTGCCTCGCCCCTCGGCCCTGGCCCAGCAGCCGTCCCGGGGCCGCCACCTGAGGCTGGCCTTTCCAGTTAGGCTGCTGGGCCTGCCTGTGGCGGCGATGGGAGCACTGGGCTAGGACACACAGGTGGAGGGAAAGGCTTTGAGAATAGTGGACCTTTAGCCTTTGGTTAAATCACAACAAACCGGTGGCTTGAATTCGATTTGACGCCTGGCTTCCCCTCATTCTGGGGGCCCTCTGAGGCGTTTCTTAACCTCTCTCGCCCTCCTCAGCTTCCTGGTTGGGAAACGAGATTACAACAGACAGTCCCTCAGGTCCCTCCAAGGGCTAGCATTCTGTAAAGCAGTCTACTTAGATTTTATCGGCAGTCACTAAGGCACAGCGCGAAGCATTTAAAAATAGCGCGACAGACGGCACACGGAGCTCTCCCTGCTTTCTCAGGCTGGCAGCGAGCGTGAGCTCATCTTTCACCGTGGCCGTGTTAATGTGAGCGGGGGGGAAGCATGGGCTCTCCTTCGCCCTCAGGCTCTGAGGACACTGCTCGGCCTTTTATGTTCCAGGTGGAGTGTTGGCGGGGGGGGGGGGGGGGGGGGGGTGCAGCTGGGGCCTTCTTTCTTACGGTTAATGATCTCTGTCTAAAGCAATACCATGGCCCCCAAACTCGCACCCACCTCTTGTTTGTTTAACCAGGGAAGAAGCATTTCAAACCAACTGGTAATGTGTTCCAGACAAGCAGGAAGACCCATTTCCCTTCCTCTTGCTGTGGGAGAGAGGAAAGATGACACTAGAAATAGGAATCTTTCACCCTGGGTGACTGAAAGAACATCTTCAATTTTTATCCAGAAGCTGGAGAAGGCTGCCGGGGAGGCCTCCCTTCTAAGGCCTGGAACAGGCTGATTTCCGCCCCCCGGGGTCTTTGTGGACAGGAGGGGCCCGCAGTGCCTGGGCTGCAGCTGATGTTGGGCCGGTCCGCTGGAAAGGGTTGAACCCACTGGCTGATGGGTAGAAGCTTCTCCATGAAATAAGATAAATTGCAGTCTCCTCAACATTCTAAAAATACTCAGAACTACCATCGGCTTAGGCATAGAGCATAGTAATTACATTTTAGAGGAGGATGGATGGTTAAGCGGAGAATCACGGGCTATTTCCCAACCACCCAGAATTATGTGTCGGGGACGTCTAGTGCCAGGGAAGTTGACAAAGGGCGGTGAAACGGTTTTTGCAAGGGGACGAGGATGGGCCCAAAGAGCCAAAGGTAGGCTGGCCCCAAGAGGCCACTGTGGAGAAATGGAAGCAGAAATGGCCTCGCTTGCCAACATCTGGGACAAGCTAGTATTTTGTCCCAAGAATCCAGAACCAGAAGAAACAAGTAAATGAAGTGGGTTGTTTTTTTTTTTTTTTTTTTTAGCAATGTCAGAGAACAATGACCGTTTTGTACACTTTGGGCTTTAGACACAGTTGAATTTATTTTCTCTCCTACTACCCCAACCCCCTAAACACACACATTTTAAAAAGAGGTGATGGTGGCAGACACCACTTGCCACCAAGTCCCCTCTTGGGGTGGGGCTTGCCAATTAGGAAGGGAAGGCAGGCAGGCCGGGGGGCAAGCCAAGGCCACAGGCAGGGTGGCCCAGGATGGGGCTGCTGAGGGGGTCTGTTTTGCTGGGAGGCTGAGAGGGTGGGCTATAGAAGGTAACATCCATATCAAGTGTTTCTGGAAATATATGCACAGGGGTCATTTTCTTAAAAAAAAACAGCAGCAAGCAAGCACAAGGTGACTTCGGTGACTTAATTGTCATTAGCAACCTCCCAACCCTCTACCTGGGCCCCTGCAGAAAGATGGAATCAGTGGTCTTTAGGGATAGGGGGTGGGTTGTCCTGCTCTGTTCACTGGTTTATTTCCTGGTCTACAGGAATGGTCCATTGAACACAAGGAAGACCTTTGGGAAGCCCTAACCCCCAATAACTAACTCGATGTCCTATAATGTAACACTACAGCCAACCTGAAAAATTAATGTGATTTATTGCAGTGGATGATCTTTTCAGGGAAGCAAATATCGAACAAAATGGTAAAGTGAAGTACGATGAATTTATCCACAAGATCACCATTCCTGCGTGGGACTACTGAATGAAGAGAATGCCAGAGAGCCTCCCTTGGGCCTGAGAACTCAGACTAAGTTTTTAAAAAGAAAAGGGGTCTTTCACCCGGTGGGCGGGGGGGGGGGGGGGGGGGATGGTAAACGCAGCAGCAGGGGGTAACTTGGCAGTGACACAAAATGGTTTCAGCCTGGCATTTGTATGGCTTTAATAAAAGATTTGTATTGATTTTAAGTGCCATGAGTCCAGCCCTTTATAGCATCGAAAGAGCCTGTGGTTTGGAGTTGGGCCTGGGTTCCAGTTCTGACTCTGCCACTTCCCAGCTATGTGACTCTGGGTAAGTCATTTCAATCCTCAAAGCCTCAGTCAGATCCCTAAACTCAAGTCGGACTCCTATTTCTTACCTCATGGAGCCTACCGAGGGTGGTCTGAGAGAATACTTGAAAACACCGTTGCAAACAGTAGAGCACCGTGCAATCCTGAGTCACACGGCGGCGCGTTTCCTAAAAAGGGCAGTCTACCAAAAGACACTATTCTGTATTTGGGTGCTGGAACCATCTTCCACATTTCCAAGGTAAAGCCAGTGCTAGCGGAGAACTAGCCTCAAGCAAAGAGCTAAAACAAATGAAAAAGTATGGTTAACATTTCTGGCAGCACCATGGGGCCACTTACACATTCTTATTCCCAGCGTGACACACAGTGACATGGTTCAGGATATTCATCCATAAAGAGTATAGAGGGAACACAGTCGCGTTTAAACTAGCAGCATCAGCTAGACTGCAGGAAGAGCGATCAGACTTTGCAGCCCACACCACAGGACACCAGATGTGACATGCTGCATTCATCAGAGCCTTGCAGAGCTGGAGGAGCTTCTGTCGGAATTTCGAGCTCTACTGTTATCAGAGAGGGTCAGGGCGCTAGGATGGTCTGCTCAAGTGGGCCAAATTGATCATGGCTTCAAGCCGTTTCCCCCGCAAGACTAATGGAAAGTAATGAAGGGATGGAACAGGCCATGGCCAGGATACAGCAAGAGCCCTGCTGGGACCTCTTCCAGCCAGAGCGGGGGTCTTAAGTGAGTTATGTAGCCAGGAGGTGCCAGGCTGGTGCTGCCGGTGTGCTCAACACATTTGTGGATCTATTGGTAGTGTAAGCACAGCCCTAAAAAGGGCTGGAGTCACACACCAGCACATTGAGCAGGGGGAGGCCAGAGCTCCAAGTTCAGAGATTTTCATCCTTATATGTCTCAAAATTGGGCTCTGGGCTGTGGCTTTGTTTAATGGCGCCTTAGTGACTCAAGCAAAAGAAAGCCAAATCAAGAGGGAGGTGCGTCTCCTCTAAGGCTAAGCACCAGGGAAACTGCAGGGGACAGATCAGTGCAGACCAGATAATCTGCAATTATGTCACGATGCTGTGGCTTTCAGACCCAACCAAGGTCCTCAGAAAGGAGAGACGTTCATTTCCCCAGCGGTGTTAACTGCCAGTAGAGGCGGGCAGGTGCCCGTAGGGGCGGGCAGGAACTCCTAGAAGCTGTAGAAGGGGGCAGGCAATAAATGGCCCAAACACCAAGCAGGTGAGGTCGTGACCATCTAGCTGGGGGAGCCCAGGTTCACACAGTGCAGGGGCACATCCAGATTTTGTGCAGTCTGAGGCATATACTATTGGATGGCCTTCTTTCAAGAATACGTGAATAGAAATACAAAATTGGTAGGGCTACTCACTCCTAGGACCCTTTTAGAGGCCAAGCAGGGGCGGGGCACACTGGTGCTTAAACTTCATTACCTGAGGCCCCTCTGGCATCCCATAGAGAACGGCTGTATTTCACTTTCAGGGAAAGCTCAAGGGGCTTGCCCCCATGTCTCCTTTTGACTCATCATGGACAAGTCCTGCACAGCTGATCTGGAATACCACGGCTGAGACAGTAGATACCTAGGAGTTAGATGGGACAGGAAAAGGAAGTTCTGGGCCAGAATAATAAACAAGGGTACCTTCCCTCAAAGATTTTTAAATGTCTCTATCACTGAATGGTCCCAGGATGGTTTTAAAGCAAGTTTTATTAATCTCATTTGCCAAACAGGAATCTGAAGTATAGCTTGCCAAAAGCACGTAAGTGGTGTGGAGCGGTCACTGGAACCTGGGGCTCATCTTCACCGACTCAGTGCTCCTAATTAAGGTGCTCCTAAGCACCTTAACAAATTAAGGTGGCTAGGATTCTAAGATCCTGTGACACGTTCTGCTGTAAACCTCTGCCCCAGGAAAGGCTTTTTATACTACCCCAAGTCCAGGTTTCTCATTCATTCGTGAAATTCCAGTTGGCTTACTTAGCACCTAGAGTTGTTTACAAAAAAAGGCCACACTGCTCTTAGCACTCAAACTGCAGATTACTAAACAGATTTAAAACTAAACAGATGCTATGGTTCAGTACAAAGCTTGCCATATTTCAGTAAGAAAGGGGAACGATGGCCGTATATGCATTACTTACCTCAAAGCAAGTTGCAAGAGAATTAGTTAATTGCCATGCTTTGAAATCTCTGGATGAAAGGTGCTTTGGAAGCACAAAGCATTATCATTTTTCTCATAGGGACTGTCCCTTGAATACCCGCAGTATTATTTTACAGAAGACAAATTAACTGAAGGCTTTTCTTTTATTACATCTAAAGAGCTCTACATAAACAGGTAACATTCAATAGGTAAACAATTTTTTTCCAATGCATGTAATAAATATTTTCACTTGGTACTTTTATACAAACTGACATTGGTCTACTATACATTTTTTAAAAGCCATTTTACTGGTTTGGCATGCGGTATGGAAATTCTAAGAGAAAGTTTTAAGGCAATGAATCACAGATTTAAGTTCATGGAATTTATGGTAACTTTTATATCTGTTTATATACATTTCCCCTTTGTTAATTAAACAATTAACAGCAGCACACTCTGGGACCACCAGCTATTCTCCCTCCTTCTGAAATCTAAGCTTTGTGTTTGTTTTTTTTTAATTAAAAAACAATTCAACATGTATTGATAAAACAAAATTCTTGCTAAAATAATTTTAAATGTGCTTTTAAGTCCTGAATATCTTGAAGTATCTTATGTATTTAAACTTGGAATTGTTTAAAAATGTTCTTTCCACAATTAGTTCATTTAAAATTGGTATATATTTTCATTCAGTTTCAGACATTTGACTCTAAGGAAAATCTGCCAAGAAATCACATTTATCAGAAGCTTAAGTGCAATCTTTCTTAAGTCAGTAATGATACAGAAATGTGATAATATCTAAATTAACAGAAGAAAAATTTTAATGCTCAAAATAAATTAGTCAGCCAAGTGTGGTATGGTTAAGGTTCAGATTGTTTTAAAAAGAGGTGTCCAATAATGCCCACAAAAATAATTAAAAGCCACTTCAACCCTGCTAAGTCAAACAGCTATTTTATCAAAGATGTGTGCGTGTATACACACACCCAGAGTCCCGTACAGAAACACAATCATATGCACACCCTATTATGAAAGACCAAGGCAAGGGGATGGTGGCAGCTTGCCAAAAGACTGAGAATCGCTATTTGTCCACAGACAGCATGTCAGTGTTGGTGTGGGTGGGGGAGTGAGGGTAGGCTAAGGAAAAAACAGATGAAATGACTATGCACTTCTTTTAACTTAGAAGAGAACAGTGCAGTGCATGACTCTACCAGTAACTAGTACAGATCATGACAGTCTGATTGACTAGTATCGATCATAAGACCAACAGAGTGATAGCTACCACTCATGCAACACTTTGGAAAGTCAACAACTTTCCAAAGAAACAAGCTCCTTAGAGTGGAATGAACATCAAAAGACAATCGAATGGTTCGTTTCTCCTGTGGAGACATGACCAAAGCCACTAGACAGACATTTCTTTCTCCCTATTACCTGTTCTTCCCTTAGGTTGGTATAATGCAGGACACTGAGGGAAACTCACCATCCCCAAAACTGGGCTGAAGAAAGGAGAGGGATGGGTTTTCAACTGGATCATTCAGAGTTTGGAATTCAGCATCATACACAAAGTTATTGATCAGAATTTTGAGACCACTAACAATGACAGAAAAACAAAAAAAGAATACAGAAAACTATTCATTTTAGGTAGCTGAATTAATAGAAATGTTTCCTATTACAGTGTGAAGTAAGAAGCAACACCCCACAACTGGAGTGATTTCTATCCCAATCTGAATTTAGACACAAATTATGGTACCATTAAATATTAGCCTAAGTTAATATAGCTATGAGAGTTCTTAAAGAGTTTACTCACCATAATAGCAGATTCATTAAAAAGCTTAACTAATTCCTGTTTTCACTGACAATGAATCTTTTGTTTTTATTGCAAATTGTTTAGTGACTATAACTCAGCCATGTATGTGTGGAATACACATGCGTTGGGGAAGACTATATAACTCACGTGTCACTCACACTTGTCTATAAATACATATATATACACACACACATATACATATCAACACCAACTTGTTTTTCAAAATTCAAGTCAACAATTTAGTGGCAGAGAGATGCTGTAAAAAACATTATTTTTAGATGCCACACAGTCATGTGAACCGCTAATTTTATCATACAACTGAAGATACAGCCATCTTGAATTCTACCTGGAAAAAGTAAGTCACTTGTTACCACCACAAGGTTGAAACAACACTTTTATACACTAAGGTGGTCCTTCATCAACTCTGAGAACCCGAACAGTTGTGACAGAAAAATCCAGGCTGGGAAACTGGTAATTGTTATGCCCCTTCCTCCTTTATATCTTTTCTGTTAAACCGCCTAAGCCTCTCCATCTGCTAGAATACACTTTCCACACCCTCAGGTGCTCCCTGAAGAACGTGACACCCTCTCTAAAGAGGATTTTGGAACACAAGTAGAACCACCTTCCTTCCCTCCAACCCACATTCATCTCCTGAAAAATAGTTCTCACTATATTTACATGTTCCATTATGAATAAATAGATCAGATTGATCCAGGAATTCTAGGGGAAAAAAAAAAAACGACTTTCCTATGAAAAAAAAAAATTTAAAAGGTGAAGAAAAAAATAAAACAAACAAGATAGCTAGGCTGAGAAAAGAAGTACACTCAGATCCAGAGAGTAAAAATGACCAAGGATCAAGCCTATTTTGCATTTCAACTGTTTATCACATAGTGGATTTCTAGATTGACATCTGTGGTGCACTGTATTTTCCGAAGAGAATTTACTTTTAGGATAACTGACTTTCTTTCTTTTTCGAGGTGATGTAACCTTACCTCTGTCAGCTGCACAAGACAACCAACATGGCTTTCTAAGCTATTTTTACTTCCTACTTTGGCATGAAGATCTTACATGAAAACTTGTTACCCTGTGGCCAAAAAGGCAGGTGTTCACAGACTTGGTTTAAGTACATAATACTGGCAATCCAAATTTAGAAGAAAGAACTAGACTAAAGTGTATTATTCACAGGTCTGCCAAGCCTACTCCTTATCCAGACAGCTTTACTCCAAATCTCTAAAACATATTCTCAGGGGGTATCTAGCAAATAAGAGAGAATATGTGATGGACAACATGCAATTGGGATATCAATAAAGATGCTCATATGTGAGTTCAAGACCTTCAAAGCACTTTGAAAGAAGCAGGCAACTGATTTATCAACTGAATGCAAACTTGGGAGGAGAAGGAACAGTTAACAACGGAAAAATATACACGGACACACACACTGAACACACCCCCCCACGAGCTAGGTCCTGAAGATACACAGGGAATGCAGTGGGACAGATGAGATTTATAACTTAAGGCTGGATATGCACACACACTAACAGAATCCAAGTCTGTCCTTTTTAGAAAATGGAAATGAAAACTATCCCCCCCAGAACCCTCCCCACAACAAAGAAAAGCCCACAATTTAAAACTTCATACATGCAATTCCTTTGCTGTTATTGCAAATAAAATAATGCCATTGAAGTAAAATAAAACCAAAACCATAGGACAAATGATGAAAAAAAAAAAATCTTCAGAATCCAGGAAAAAAATGAACTGAAGGTGGTTTGAAAAAAATGGGTTTTTTTTTTTTTCTTTTTTTCTTTTCTTTTCTTTCCTTTTTTTTTTTTTTTTTTTTTTACAAGTGTTTTATCAGACAGGCAGTCTTAGATTTATATACAAAAGTAAAACTGAAAATATAGTTTTGTTCTCTGTACATTTCTTTTAATTTTTTCCCTAAAAAAAGGAAAAAAACACGCTTGTGTACTTTTCTAAACAGAATAAGGTAAAACATAGCACAAAGTTCTCTTCTTTCTGCCAAGTTCATTTAATCTGGGGTGGGGGTGGGAGCAGCAGGGGCAAGGGAATCAGTCCAATGAAATAATGTCTGGTATGATGCCGAAGATGGAGGCCGTGTCCGAGCCGCTCCTGTTGGCGACACTGTGGCTATGGCTGTCCCGCAGGCTGTTGGAGGACACGAGGCTGCTGTTACTGCCGCTACTGCTGCCGTTGGTGGCCGGCAGAGAAGTGCTGCCTCCTGCGCTTAACTGATCGAGAAACATCTGCGAGGAGGTATACGGGAAAAACCGAGACGAGTGTAAGAGGTCTTGATCATCTGACACTGCTGCGGCGGCGGCAGCCAGGAGGGAGGTGTTATAATGCTGGCGGTGGGGGGGGGGGGGGGGGGGGACGGGGAACAGAAGACACAAAACCCATCAGTTCTAATTCATAAACCTTCTTCTCAGCAGAACAGAGTCCTCAATGTAATATTACTGCATAGCTGCTACGTCTGAGATACCTAATAAAATATTTTGCAAAATCAGATGGTCTTATGTAATGATCACAACCTTGATCTTGAGAGACATTCTTGTATGTTAAACTGGGGGGAATACCAAAATAAAATTGATACTGTTTTTTTTGTTTTAATTTGTAATGCAAACAATTCTCAAAATTCTATTTCCAAAGAGGATATGCTCAGAAGCAGCAGGAAAGAAGACAACCCACCCTCTTTCTCTTATGGAGATATTTGGCCAAGAATTTGTCAACTGACTTACTACCCTGTTTCTTCATAAAAAAGTACTGGAAACCAACAAATAGATACTGTTCCTACTATATACTCAGACACAGTAGAAACAAGGGGATTTTTATATACATTCTTAAAACCTTAACAATAATGAGTAGGGCTACTCTGAATTTCCTAAGAAATTTATCTTCTCTCTCAGCTACATATTATACTTATAAATATGTTAATGTGCAATTAAAACAACGGCATTTTTTTTCATATAACATACCTGATTGTCTCCTGATAAGAAAGGAAAGAAATCTAATCCTGTGAGAAAAAAAATCATTTTAGTTTTGAAAAACAAAAGAAAAAACCCTCCCTAATGCCCCCAATACTGCAGAAACAAATAAAATGCTAATTCTAAATTCATTTAGAATTTAAACAAGAAGAGTGGAGCTGAATGTTGTACGTCCCTCCCATCTCTAGATTACCAAGGCTGAAGTCCAAGCCATGATTTGCCTTCCTTGTAACTCCATTTGTGGGATCTGGGCCACTGCTGCCCTGCTGGATCCAACACTGATCCCTTAAACTGACAGAGCACTTTTCACTTAATGTTCTCATCGACTCCTCTTAAGTAACATTTCAAACTACTCTAATTTACTCCTCACAAGCGCCTATGAGGTAGGTCATTATTTCTGGCTACATTTTGTGGGTGAGAAAAGTTTTATGTAGAAGGAAGTTAAACAAGCTGGAGCACAGGTTTTTTTTCTTTCTCAAATTTGCCTGCTCGCCACTATCTGTACCAAATTCTAACTCAGAGACCCTCCAGTGGCAAGAGGGGGGGGAAGAGATCTGAGGGGTGTCTGGTTGCTGGGGTGGTGCATCACAGAAGGACCAGCTCTGATTCCTGGCTGCCAGGGAGTCAATGCAAGCTGCCCCTTCTAATTCCCACTCTTGTCTGTATCACGCAATGTGTAATGTAATGAAGAACCAGAAAACCCATGTGGATAAAATGCCTTATTATGAGGTCTCAACTTGGCGGAAAAGGACAACAAGCAGATGTAGTGAAAAATATGACAACAACACAAACACTTTGGGGATCCATCCACTATCTACACTAGAACAGATTTTAACATGAGGACCTGCAAAATGGATAGCACTGTGGTTCATGACAGTGAGATTGGGCAGTAGCCTAAGTGAGAAACAGGGTTGCACTTAGCCACATGATGTGGGTATCTAAATTTATTAAGATGAAGTAAAATGAAAAACTCAGTTCTTCAATCACACTAGTCATGTTTCAAATGCTCAATAACCTTATGTGGCTAATGGCCACTGTAAATTACAACATTTCCCTCACTGCAGAAAGTTCTATTGGACTGAGCTCAAATAGGGTCTTTCTAACAATCACTAGGCATCTACTCAACTATCTCAGCTTCCAAGAATCTTTACACCGGAATCTTGGCCCCGGCTTTTTCTGTAGGGGAGGGGTGGAGGAAAACTTCCATTTTAATTTTTTTTTTTTTAATTTTCTACAATGAGCATATATAGCTTTTTTGGAATAAAAATGTCCCTAGATATACAAATTATTAAATTATAAAGATATAGGAGAAAAACTAATAATTTTTTGATAATGTAAATGATTATTATCAACTCAAAATACATTGTGCATTGAGTACACTGACATTTCAAACTACTTTTAAAAGGAAGAATCAGGTTCACTGGAACAAAAATTAAAACTTTCCAATGTCTCAATTCAGCACTACTTTAAAGATAATACAACACAGTTACCCACAATGCCTGTTGCATTATAACTGGATTCAGGGAACAAAGAATAATTTTCATAAATATTAAAATTCAAAGCAACATACTGAAAGTCACCCCCAAACAACTTGCAGACTATTTTGAAGCTCACAAAACCTAAAGATCATCACACGACATTCACCACTGGTAGTAAAACACTGGCTACTGATGAAGGTCCAAGCAAAAAAAACTGGATCTCTATTTATGACCACAGTATATATTTCTCCCAGTTCCCTAGGCCCAAGCCCCCATTTTATCAATCTTTCCATTCTTCCTTAGACTCACCCGGAGGAAGACTATGTAGATGAAAGGTATTTATAATGCTATGTGACAACAGAGAAGGACCGGTGACTCACCTTGTAGGTCATAAGGCATGGGTGTCATGTGGAAAGGGTGCCTGTAGTCTTGGATGAGGGAAGTATTAATGTAGCTTGTGTCTACAGCAGGGAGGCTTGGGGTGCGAGACACCGGAGACGCTTGATGTGGAAGACTTAATATGCTAGAAGAAGGAAAAGGTTCGCATAATTTTCATGAGTTAGCTGAACTTCTAGGTTTAACAAAGGGACTATATCTCACAAAATGAGTCCTAGCTTTTGTGCTGGAAATAAAAAGACAAGCAAAGCAATATATAATTTAGACTACTACTAGGAAATAATCTGCATATACAGCAGCACTTTGCAGGGGCTCTAAGGAGAAATGGATGGGTGCAACGGTGTATCCAACATTCATGAATTGCATACTGTCTCATCTACACTTTTGGAATGCACGGCTGAGCCACTTCAGTGAGAGATGAGCGGAAGATATCTATAGCAGCTGAGATTCTGAAACCTTTTAAAAATAAGCACTGAGTGTTTTCTCGTAAAAAGTATAGGTACGTCCTCGCAAAGAAAACACATATAGACGAGCCTGGGGGACGGTAGCAATCTGAGCAGTAGAGTTAACAGCTGGCCCCCAGACTTGTAAGCTTTATGGAACAGAGACAAGGAACTGTTTATCCTGGTATTCCTAATGCCCCGCACACTCATCAGCACACTGTTTGCATACAAGGCCTGCTGAATGAACGAAGGCAGCGAGACAAGAAGAGATGCTCCAAAATGAACAGGTGGTGGAAAGGTTTTAAAGGGAGTACAGAACTGTTGCGGGGGGGGGGGAGTGGACAAAAAAAGGGATTCTGGAAGAACAGCATGAAATGTTTAAGTAACGGAGAAGTTAAATCTTTTTTTCTTTTTTAAAAAAGATTTATTTATTCCAGAGAGAGAGAGTGCATGAGCGAATGAGCACAGGGGAGGGGCAGAGGGAGAGAGAATCCCAAGCAGACTCCATGCTGAGTGTGGAGCCCGATGGAGGCTCGATCTCATGATTCCAACATCATGACCTGAGCTAAAGCAAGAGTCGGATGCTTAACTGACTATGCTACTCAGGCGTCCCTAAATTTTTTTTTTTTTGACAAAAAAATTAAGTAAAAAGCAAAAAGGTGTGAGAAAGAAATGAAAAAGAAAAGGAAGAATTGAGTGCAAATCTAAGGGTCATGTCCTATCCCAACCATAGAAGAGCCTAACAGGCATGTAAGTTTTGGAAAATAAAGAGAAAAGGAGGTATAAAGAGGCTGTTTTTTGCTTGTAAAACTTCATATAAAGTACTTGGGTGTGGAGATACAATTTCAATGGTGCAATGCAAGATCAGAATATTTCAAAAGAGGCCAAGGCTGGATTTCTAGGAATAGAGTTCTACTTATGATCATCTACCACAGTTTCATGAATGGAATATGAAGCATAAAATATACTCTCATCTGCCTCATAAAAATGTTTTGTCTAATGGAAACTTAATTAATTAAACCTCTTCCATCTATAAAAAGTACCATTTTCCATTAGCTGTCTCCTCTGACAATGTCTAAGGGATTACAAGAGAAGAAAGCAGATGAAATGCTAGCCTTTGAAAACATCTTGGTATACCAAACAGGAAACGAAACTTCTGGATGAATGCTAAACACTTGGCAGCTGAAGACAGCAAAATGTTTTACATTTACTAATGTTTGTCTCTAATTCCTGGCTGTTATCCTTCTAAAAATGCCATAAACTTTCAGGCTGCTTGTTTTTATCCAAAAACAGAGAAAGGTCTGACATTTGTAAATACTGTATCTGGGTTTACTTGGTCACTGGGAAGTTCAGGAAGTAGTTAATGCACCTAATGTAATTTTCTAAACATAATAAACACAATTATTTTTGGAAAAACAGCAAAGCAAATATCCAAAGAATTGAAATATTAGATTTTTAAACACTCAAAAGTTCCTCTTAAGGAAAAATGTACAGTCAAGAGAGCAAAATTACCGCACAGCCCACATATACATATGTGACTACTATAGATATTCTCAAGAGTAGAACTAACTTAAACATAATGGTGCTTTTAATCCACAAAGTATTTACACACCCAGAGATTTATGAAATATCTTTTAATGTTGCAATTATGGCATTTAAAGAAATAATGTGATAATGTGTATTTGGTCATAGTATGGTTTGATATATAAAACATCTTGAATCAAGATTCTATCAATATCTGTTTTAACTACACCAGCTTCTGGCCATTTGACTTTTCTTTTTCTCCCACTCAGATTTATAAAAATAAGTTGGTGTAGTAACAAGGTCAGGCTTGTTGGGCAGCAGACATCAAGGTAGGCTTTCATCAGAGGTAAATCTTCATAAAGTAGGATTTAAAGTAGAATTAGTGTTTAGATAATTCATTCTTTTTTAGAATAATGATACTGCTATTAATGTCTTTACTGCTGTCTGATGTTTGCTAAGCTACTCTAGAGTGAAAATACCAACCTATGTAACAGATCTGATTGTATTATGAAGATTCCTGAAACAAAGTTTTTAACAAGTGAGATACATTTATCACTGTTATGCTTTTACTGTTGCAACTTTACCTTTCAAGTGATTACAAATATTCTGAAACAGAAGATCTTTTATCTCCTCAGTCTCAAACCTGAAAATTATTTCACTCCAAGCATAGAAATGCTTACTCTTGGTCTGGTGTTAACTTTCCCTCTTGAACCTTGAAATCTTTCAACAATGCCTTCTGTGGACCTTCCTTCTCTCACTTAACATTCTTTCCTCAGGCAGGAGGAGATTTTTTGAATCGCTCCTATTCAGTTCCAAAGGGCTACATCATTCTCCTGATACATACCTAAAAAGGGGCACACCTATTTCTAGATTTACCTTTAGTGTGCTACCACTGTGCCTCAGCAAAACATGAAGTCTTTTTGTTGAGAATCCCCAATATGTCTCATGAGGCTGAGTCTATTTAAGAATACAGCTAGAGCTGGCTACTTGTTTTACCATCCTCCACAAAATGCTAAACCTTTAAGGTTAGGACTGTACTTACTCATTTTATTACCATCCATGTTAGGCACAGGGTGTTTTACCTCAAGTAGATAACAATGTTTGCTAAACTGAACTGAAGCATAACCAAGGTACATTTATTACTGATAGGAGACTAATGGGAAATATGGGAAATGAGCTGGCAAAACAGAAGGCATTGTGCCCTGCAACTTCAGACTCTGACTTCTTTCACTGCCAACCTCACACACTCCTAGGCAGGTTTTTTGTTTTTTGGGTTTTTTTTTTAAGATTTTATTTATTTATTTGTCAGACAGAGAGAAGAGCACAAGCAGGGGGAGTGGCAGGCAGAGGGAGAGGGAGAAGCAGGCTCCCCGCTGAGCAGGGAGCCCAATGTGGGACTCCATCCCAGGACCCTGGGATCATGACCCGAGCCGAAGGCAGTCGCTTAACCAACTGAGCCACCCAGGCACCCTCCGAGGCAGGTTTAAAGCATTCCTCTTGTCTTCCTCTGTTTTCTATTTGAAAGACTCAATTCAGGATTAATCTTACAGCATACATTTCCAGTTTGAGTAAATGTTTTAAATCCTACGAGCAGCATTAAGATTACCTAAGAACTGATCAGAGATACGAATTTTCTCAGTCCCTACTCCTGAATCAGACATGGGGGAATAGGGGAGCAATGTGTGTCTTAATGAGCCCTCTGGGTGATTCTGCTGTACACCAAAGTTTAAGAACCACTGTACTAGAATATCTTTTGGTATGATAAATACTGTATCCAAGGGGACTTCTTTAATGCATTATCCCAGCCCCTCAAGAATATCACATACCTGGGGAAAATCCAACCTATTCTTTGATTACTAAGTTAAGTTTTACAATCATGCATAATCATTTTATTTGGCAGATATTTTAAATTGTATTTGCAAAATTAACTTTCACAGTGACTTTTCAAGGTCTCAGTACTTACCCTTTATTATTTAGTGGTGATGTGGGAGATAGGGAAGGACAGGTCCTCTTGGCAGACGGCTCTTCTTCCTCTTCATCAGATGAACTGTCTATGGTTAAATCAATCACCTCTACTTTCTTATTTTTATTTGAGGACTGGTGGTGAGAAGCCACCTGATGCTCCAATGTGGAGCTCAAGCATCCTGTATGGGAATGATCAAAACACAAGGCAAAAAGACCTATGACACCTCTCTTTTCTTCCACAGTGTGCCTAATGGATTAGTTTATCGATTACAGTTTAGACTTACAATACTGCTGGGGTCAAAGAGTAGTAGCTCTGGTCCCCTAAGCTTAAAGCTACTATTTATTATTGGTTGTTAAAGGGGTTTTTTTGTTTTGTTTTTTTGAAAGACAATTCTGAATTAGGGCAAACAATCAAAATGCATGTCTACTTCAGAATAAAAGCAGTTTGAGGATAAAGACTATATATTACGTATGTACCTGGGATAAGAAATGCATGGTAACATTTTTTAAAAGTCACAGCTTCCTTCCAGCAAAAACATACTAAAAACCAGAAAAATAACATAAATGAATAAGAAACATTCACTAACCTTTACCAAATCTCTTCAACATTTAAAAGGATACCATTTCAAAAGCATGACCTTACAAATGACTTATTAGATTATGTTGCTTTTAATCTTGTATCCCCAAAATTTAAAAGCTGGCAAAGTGAATTTAAAGAGTTCTCTACTACTTCTGAACATTTAATCAATAATTTAATAAGAGTTACTGAGCTACCCATAAACTGGATTTTTCAGAAATGTATACTTTTTAAAAAGTTTATTCTTTTTTTTAGTCATCTCTGCACCCAACGTGAGGCTTAAACTCACGAACCCAAGATCAAGAGTCACATGCTCTGCTGACTAAGCCAGCCAGGCGCCCCCAGAAATACGTTATGTTTTAATACTGAAAAGCAGGGCTATGCAACAGCAGGGAGACCACCCCACCCTTCTGGAAACCAGCACTCACCATCAACTCCATTGTAAGAGGCAGAGACTTCCTGTACTTCCTTTTTTGATCTCATAGGTGCCCAAGAGCCATCCTCCTTAAACTGTATCTCATCACAGTCTGTACAGTACTTTAGGATCTCCATAAACAAGCTACAAAAAACACGTGGTCCTCTGAATATCACATTCTAAATGAAAACAGACTAGAAGTATTGCTATTCAAAAAACATTCAGACCACCTCTGTTTTGTAGAAGTATAAACGAAAAAGAAGAAAGGAGAACAGACAAGTTATACTTGTTCTCAAAATCGAGGCCTATTTTAGGGAAATATTACTTAGATCATGGTACCTTATACAAGGTCCCCTATACAACCATGAAAAATGAGATTTTCAAATATTTTTAATAATATGGGAAAATATTCACAGAAAGTGAGAAGAGGCCAAGAAAATACAATTCCGTGTGTGAATGGTATATAAACAGCAATTATTTCTGAGCAGGGACACATCATCAGTATTTCTTTTTCTCCTTTATATTCTTGTGCATCATCCAAACTGTCTACAATAAGCATATCTTACTGAAGCAATACATACAAAAATATGTACTGAATGTTACATCTTGAAAAATATCATGCAGATATTAAGAAGTGAGATTTGCAAAAAAATGTGTAAAAGTGTCAAATTCTGAAATGAAACCAAAGGATAAAAAATACTAATACTGCACAATCACAATTCTGTAAAAACAAAAATCAGAAAATACACCACAAAGCTCTTTTATTAATTCCTGTTTTCCAATTTCTTCTTTAAATGTGTGTAGAGGTGTGTGTGTGTGTGTGTGTGTGTGTGTGTGTGTGTGTGTGTGTGTATGGCTTTTAAAATAAAGAAAGATCCCAATTGACAGAGGAGGGGATCTAAAGCTATATAATATACAGCGTTGGTAAAATATTATTTAATTTAGATTTATTAGTTATCACTGTCATTTCTGAACAATTAAACATAAAACATTTAAGTGACACATTTACTTTTTTCCCATGATTGGTCTGCCATCTTTCAAGCTCCAGGTGACACTGTATTGTTAAATATATCCCCTTTCTAATGGTACAACTTCAGACTCCTGAGTTTTTTCAAATGCTGTAGATAAGTTGTCTTAAGTGTTTTGCTGGCGAGTACAGGAACTATCAAGAAGATCCTTCTTTCCACAATTTATCTTTGTTCAGTGGCAAAAAGGACAAGGAAGGAGGCTAGAGGATAAGGGTACATTTAGAGAAACACTCCAAGATGTCTGGAAGGACAGATAAAAACACAGGAGTGTTTAAAAAAAAAAAAACCAAACAAACACAAAAAAAAAAAAATTGTTGTGATGCTGTAGGGGACAAGAAAGACAAAGACAAGTATTTCAGAGGAAACAGAGAAACCAAGAAAGCTGCTATTTAGCATGCTGATCAGTTTTAGCAGCCCTTACGGTGGGGAATAGGTTTGATGAACTATGACTGAAGCATGAGAAAAATCTGCAAAAACAGGTTAACTTCCACTGAAAAGCCCAATTTGGGTGAGCTTAAGTTAACCAAAGTTTCACAATGCTTTCACTCTTTCTCTGATATGGTCTGCATGGCTAGGGGTAGATGGATTCATGTGAGCAACAGGTGTAAGCATACCCTACTTAGAACCTGTGGTACTTCAAATGGTAAAAGTCAGGAGATACAGATGGTAAAGCATGCGCTTCCCACACAGAAGGATGTCAACTTAAAAAGGAAAAATGTTTACAATATTACTTACTTACTTTGAAAAGTACTGATTTCTAGAATCAGGAAAATCCTAAAAATATATTACTCAGAACACTATCTATAGAATTTTCATCCTAAACCTGACGGATAACAAATCCAAATAACAGACGGTCATTCCAAGGTATAAGGAAACACTTTAAATTAACATACCCATCAATAATAAGGTGTTCATACGGAGCCTTCTTATCACAGACAGGACAAACCCAGGTTGGTTTTTTCTCATTCATCTGAATATAAAGAGTTGCATCAAAACACTGCAGATGAGAACATGTCAGGGCCCGGCATGGAATTGTCAACCGCATTTTACCAAGCTTTAAAAGACAGAGACAAAAGTAAATATTAGACAACTGTTATTCAATTTAAGTTTTGATAAAAATCTCCTGAAACACAATGTGTATGTATTCTGACTTAAAGCATATTATATTTACTTTTCATCAATATGGAAGAAGATTAAACACATTTTCTATGAAACCTACATGTTTAAAAGATTATAGTATTTCTTTAGATATTAAACATAGTGACTATGGAAAGTCTATAGCAAGGGTTATTCCCCCGCCCCCAAGCTCATAGATCAGCTTTTGGGGGAAAGAACCACGAACTCCTTAAAATTGTATGTAAAATTCTGCAAGTTTGTACATTTCCCCAGAGAGAGCACTTTCACCAAATTCTTCTTTTTTTAAAGATTTTTTAAATTTATTCACTTGAGAGCAAGGCGGGGAGGGGCAAAGGGAAAGGGAGAAGCAGACTCCCTGCTCAGCAGAGAGTCCAACGCCGGGCTCAATCCCAGGACCCCGGGATCATGGCCTGAGCCAAAGGCAGACGCTTAACTGACTGAGCCACCCAGACGCCCCACCAAATTCTCAGAGAAGTCTCTGATCCAAAAAAGTTAAGAACCACTTTACTAGGGATTTAGGAAATGGAAAAAGAATGTCTTATTAAATACTGCAGGATATAGATATAAAGTCATCCAGCCTGATCTCTGAAAGAGGGTAGTTCACATGTGAAAACTTAATGAAGGGCATGTATTCCCCAGGATGTTTACCAGAGTTGCCAAATGGCAGCTCTGAGAAGGAAGTCAAGTGTGTGCACTCTGTTTTTCTTCCCTTACTGGGCACTATCACAGACAATTCGGCAAACATCCCTAGATCTCTAGCATCTTCACCATGTTATGAGACTTTCTCTTCTTGCCTTGCAAATGCTGCTTAAGCTGAGGTTGAATCTGTCCTGTGAAAAACAAAACCTAGTTCATCCGGTCCCTGAGCTGCTACCTTGGGCTCAGGGCACAGAAGCTGCACTGAGAGCTGTCACATCACAGCTCCTTCCCTGGAGGCCACCTCACAGAGTGCAGCTGGGTGACCACTGTGGGGCCCCCCGGAGGCAACAATGGCCAACCAGTAGAGAAGTTATCTACTTTCAATAACCACACTGTTTGCTAACCAGGAAAAGATTTCCCACATACTTGCAAGCTTGAAAAACATAAAGGCTTGAAAAGGATATGAGTTAAATGAGGAAAGAAAGAGGAAAAGGATTTTGGCTTAGAAGAATTTCAGGGAAATGTGCAATTTCCTAGGAAGTCTACCAAGGAAATTAACTGTCATTTGCAGCCCTAAATAATTGTTCTGGTACCAATGATTTACTGAGCCTCTAGGAAAGGCCCTTAACCTTTCTGGGCCTCTTTTTCTATCTCCAAAGTAACACTGTTTCCTCCTTACTTCAACAGGATGTAGTGATGAAGAACAAAACAGGACCCAGGCTGTGCCGTAAGCTTCTGAGAGGGGAGTAGTGCCAGCTTACAGTGTTAGAAGTACGGGCTGGAGAGACACAGAGCAAATGGACAGCTCCCTTCTCTGTGTGTGCCCAACTCCACCCTGTGCATGATTATGTACTACTTGTTTACGTGTGTGTCTCCTCCTACTAGAAATATATCAAACTCAATCCCTTATCCCTGGCACTTTGCAATGTATGTGCTATAGAGCAGGAAGATGGCCATGTGTGGGGGCTGGAAAAGCTTTGGCTGTGCTTCACTGAGCAGCTTCTAGGAGGGACCACTCATGGAGAGCGTGGGGGCTGCATGTGGTACTTTACGAGGCAGGCCAGAGTATGAATTCTGGAGTTAGACTACCTAGATTTGAATCCTGGCCCCACTACTTACAGTGGGAATCCTGATCTCACATAGCGTCCCTGAGCCTCAGCTTTGTAAAACAGGGATAAAAATACCATCTACATCATAAGACTGTGGGATTTAAATTATGTTATGTGTTATGTTAAATTATGTTATATGCCTGACATATAGTAAGTGCTCAATATATGTCACCCATTATAATTAAAGAACAGAAACATTATCTGCTCAAATCACTTGGTAAGCTAATGGGAGACACACCCGTATCAGCTCAGTCCTTCTTCCATTCTATGCTCACATTAAGATTAAACAACTCTTCACTCCCCTTTACTCTTCTACTACTCAATTTTTATGATTTGATGTATACAAGCTCCTGATGAAAAGGCAAAAAAAGAACAAACTAGTTCTTATAACAGAAGAATCATATATTTATTATTAGCCAAAACATGTTGCATTAGTCCAGAAACATTTTCCAAATAATGAACCGCTTGGTGGTGCTAAATTAAATTTTTATATCTTAAAGCAGACCTTAACTTACCTGTGAAGTAGAAACTGCTACTGAGCAGGTATTTTTCCTAATGCTTAAATACTAAGTAGAGAAACTGCAGACTGGAAAATCCTAGACAAATACAGTAATTGTAGACAAAGTCCACATACTGCAGAATTAGTAGGCCACTTTGGGTAGTTTATGAAGACAGTGCGTAAGAAGGTAAAACATAAAGCCAGTTTCAGAATCCAAGCTATAGGCCACAGAACTTACACTCTGAAAAGCAGTTATTCTCTAAACAATCATTTCACAGACTTTCCTCCCTCTAATCCTCACTTGTCAGCTCATCTTTTTGGTGAGAGAGCTATTCTCAAGCCCGTATGATCACCCACACTGACAAACTTACCCAGAGTCTTTAAGGAACACTGCTACGTGAAGGATGAAGGAAAGACATTTATAAATGGGTATAGAATAGGAAAAGTTCACTTCCAAATGTACTGTTTATCAGCTGTCACAGAAATGCTTTGCTTCAAAGAATCACTGTCATGTGATAATACTCCTCATATTCCTGATTTTAAAAACAATCTCTAACTCCTAAACACTTATCTATAAATGGACAATGATTTCTCCTGATAAGGAGAAAAGCAGAGTTTTAAACATCTTCATCTTATAATCCTAAATTCCTCCCTTTCCTTTGTATGGGACGTGGATATTTACATCATTGGCAAAACACTCTGAAAACAGCCCCCAAACAAGTCTTCCAATGACACTAACCTTACTATAACATATAGTAGTACTGTTTAGTAACTGAGGATGCTGCAGGAGAAAATACCCGAACTAGCTTATATCAAAAGGACCCTAAAAAGTCAGTATGTATTTTTTCCTTGTAAGGAAAGGAATAGTGATATCAAGAATAATTTCACAACTTCTTCATTACCATCATCAATATTTCATAAATAAATTTCTGAGGAATTTATTTTTTTTTTCTTCTACCAATTCCAAGTCATTTGTATTGAAATTCATAGGTCTGGGGAAAAAGTATCTCACAAAGTAGGTTCTCAAACATTCTCCCAGTTGTTCTTTTTAAGATTTATTTATGTTAGAGAAACAAAGTGCACAAGCTGGGGTGGGGGGGACCCTCAAGCAGACTCCCTATTGAGTGGGGAGCCGGATGCAGGGAGGATGCAGGGATGTGGGGCTCGATCTCACAACCCTGAGATCATGACCTGACCCGAAACCAAGAGTCACTCAACCAACCGAGCCACCCAGGAACCCCTCTTCCAGCTGTATTTTTAATAAATCGGAACTAAAAAATTCCCAAAGAGCAAAAACATTTCTAATTATTTTCATTGCCTTTAGCTAAATTGCACACAAACAACAGAAACTCATTTATTTTATTTTGAGCTCTGTATATCAAAACAAGGGCAATTCAAATGCACAGTCAGGCGTCATACTTACATATTTCAAAGGGAACAAATCTCTTTTATTATTCTATAAATTTGATATATAGATGAGTTGTCATTACCAAGTTTTACTTTTCAGAATAAAAAAATACCTAAAATATATTGCCTTGTTGTTCCAGAATAATCGTAAAGGGATTTTCCCTTTAGCCAAATAGAAATCTATAAAAGTACTATAATTATGGATTATATATAGAGAGAGAGAGTTTTTTTTCCATAATCTGAATTTTATTTTTTTTTGTCAATTTAAAATGAACTGCTAAAGCTGCAGCAACTAAAAAGGGAGGAAACGGGCGATATGGTAAGAAACATTAAAGATGGCCCGCTAAATTAAGAAGTGTGAGAGGCAAAAAATGATTAACATTTTCTAGTAAGATAAACATCACCTGAACTATAAAATTCAAAACTAGTTCTAGAAGTAAAAACGTCAAGATTTATATTACAGTGCTTATCTATATGAATAAATGCTTCATCTAATGATATAAACATCACATATATTAGAACTGTAAACACATCTTGGTGCGCCTGGGTGGCTCAGTCGTTAAGCATCTGTCTTTGGCTCAGGTCATGATCCCGGGTCCTGGGATCGAGCCCCACTTCGGGCTCCCTGCTCAGCGGGAAGCCTGCTTCTCCCTCTCCCACTCCCCCTGCTTGTGTTCCCTCTTTCGCTGTGTCTCTGTCAAATGAATAAAATCTTTAAAAAAAAAAAAAAAAAGAATGTATGCTCCTTGAGAAAAAAACCTTTGTTAAAAAAAAAAAAAAGAACTGTAAACACTTCTTAAAAGGAGACTGAAGAAAAACAAGACTTCTTCCAGTGATTATGGAAAATGAAGCTTCTGTACTTTTCTAAATTTCTCATAGTCTCTGAACTGGTATTTTACAATGGAATGGGATGGCAAGAAATCACACGGGGGAGGAAAATACACAAATAGGGGCTTGAGGGGGAAAGAGGGTAGAATAAGTAGTTTTGTTTTTTGTTTTTTTTTTAATCTTTGTCTTCTTTTTTTTTTTTACTTACTTGGTCTCTGAGCTATTTTCCTAAATGTTAAAAAAATGCCAGCTTCCTTTACACCATAATCTGTTACAACATTTATCTGGTGGGTGCCTGGGTGGTTCAGTGGGTTAAGCGTCTGCCTTCAGCTCAGGTCTTGATCCCAGGGTGCTGGGATGGAGTCCCACATCGGGCTCCCTGCTCAGCAGGGAATCTGCTTCTGCCTCTGCCCCTCTCCCCTGCTCGTGCTCTCG